TATATGATAAAATTTAATAGAATTAATCAAAGTAGAATAATTGAAAAGAATAATAATTATAATCAATAATATCTTTTATTTATTTTTAAACATATGGAAGAGTATCCAGCAGTTGTTATTGATAATGGATCATATGAATGCAAAGTAGGTATTGCAGGAGATGATGATCCAAAAGCATGCTTCCCTGCAGTTGTTGGAAGATCTAAAAATTAAGGAAGTAGGGACAGAAAGGAAGCTTATATTGGAAATGAGGCTTTAGCTAACAGAGGTGTATTAGCACTTAAATATCCGATTGATAATGGTATCATTAATGATTGGGATGGTGTAGAATGTTCATATAAATTATATAGATATGGAAAGAATTTGGCATCATGCATTCTATAATGAATTAAGAGTTAATCCAAGAGAGCATCCAGTTCTTTTGACTGAAGTTATTTTCAATCCAAAAGCTAATAGAGAAAAAATGACATAAATCTTATTTGAAACATTCAAAGTTCCATTATTCTATGTTTATATTTCAGAGCTTTTAGCGCTCTATTCTTCAGGAAGAACAAATGGTATTGTAGTAGGTTCTGGATATGGTGTTTCATGTTCACTTCCAATTTATGAAGGTTATACCATTAAACCTGCTGCTCTTAAAATAGATTTAGCAGGAAGAGCTTGTACATAATATTTGGTTTCAATTTTGAATGAATAAGGTGTTTCATTCACTTCATAATTTGATATGGAAATTGTTAGAGATATAAAAGAGAAATTATGTTATGTTACATTGGATTATGAAGAAGAAATGAAGAAATATTAAAGAAGTGCTGAATATGGTAGAATATATGAATTACCAGATGGAAATTAAACTGTTATTAAAAATTAAAGATTTAAATGTCCTGAATTACTTTTCAAACCAGATTTAATTGGACTTGGAGCATTAGGTATCCATGAATTAACATTCAAATCAATTATGAAATGCGATATTGATCTTAGAAAGGATCTGTAATAATAATTTTAAATTTATTATATTAGTTATGGAAATGTTATAATGGCAGGAGGTACAACAATGTTTCCAGAAATCCCAGAAAGGTTGAGCAAGGAATTAGCATCACTTGCACCATCATCCACGAAAATTAAAGTTGTTGCTCCACCTGAAAGAAAAATCTCAACGTGGATTGGTGGATCAATCGCATCATCACTATCAACATTTGAAAATATGTGGATCAAAAGAAGTGAATATAATGAAAGTGGTCCAACAATTGTTCATAGAAAATGTTTTTGAGAAACAATACATAATATAAATAATATTTTATCAATAATCATTTTGGATTGTTCATTTTTATTTTGCGATCAAGTATTTCAAAACCTTCCTTAGAGAAATCCAATTTTAGAGAATTAAATTAAGAATAAGCAAATAATCTTCCTTATCTGATTAAAACTCGCTTAAATATACTTTAAAATAAAATAATTATTCATAAAGGAGATATTATTTTTTAAGTTCATTAGTTTACAAATACAAGATTTGAGGGATCTTAAAAATTAAAAATTTTAAATTAAATAATTAATATGTTAAATTACTTTAAGTTTCAAAAGAAAAATGATTTCTAATTTGATAATTAAGATATTTAGTCTTTTAATTTTAATTTAAGGACTAAGTACAAAATATAATTTCTTAAATATGTTCAAAACCATTTGAGGTTAATTTGAAACTTAATTTTTAGATATTCTAAATATTTTTATAGACTATGAACCTTCATTGAAGAAGAGAAAATGTATGAGCTCTCAAATTTAGAAAGTTAATTAAAATTATCAAGAGAGACATCAAAATTATTATTTCTGATTTTTAATCAAGCTAAAAAGTTATAATTTCGTTGAAATTTTATATAAATAAAATATTTATAATAAATAATGAAGGTTTGATTAGTACGATTTTAATTAAATTCCATTAATATAAAAGAATTTATTAAAATAAAAGTGTTTAAGTTCAATTTTTACTTAGATTGAAGTATATAGCAATAAATCATTAAAATTATAAATCAGTTTAAATGGTTTATTTTATTTTATTTAATAATATATAAATTAATCTTAGTGCAAAAAGATTCAATAAAATGTTAAATAGATTAACTTTAAGTTTTAAATCTGATGATATTGAGGAGGAGTTTAGAGAGAATCAATCTGAAAAAGTAAAAGAAGAATTTAACTTATTTACTTTATAATGTTTGGTATTAATAATTTATAAAATAAGCTATTCTTTCCCTTTTATTCGATGGCTTACTTTTAAACAGAATACTTTAATTTGACTAGCGTTTTAATAGTTTTAATAATCTTTGGTCTGATTTTGTTGTTCAAATTGATAATTGGTAATTATCCAAATAGCGTAAACTTAATATTACCTATTTCATAAGTGTTGTTTGGCATTGTTTGGAGCATAGATAATATGTAATAATAACCTTAATTAAACTAATATTCTTGGTTTTATGGATTTTAAGCATTTTATTTTCATTATGGTATGTATTTTAAGTAAATAGCTATTCTGTAGTAAGGCTATTAAATTCTACCTTAAGGTATTTGCATATTAGGATTATTTGCATGGTTTATAATTTTATTTGCAAATAATTCATTAGAGTTTATAACTTTAAGTCTCACACAATTTAGTATTATTTTAGGTCTAATATTCTTAAAATATACAAATCTAAGATTGAAAAGATTATAATTTATTGATAATAGAGAAAGAAATAAATGGATCTAAATTATAGAATAAATAGTAGATTATCAATTGATTGTAGTTTAGTTTGATAAACGACAAGATTAAATAATAATTAAATAGATAAATGAAGAAACTAAACAAAAATTATAAATTAAAGATAATCAAGATCTGAGAAAAATTTTAAGAGATGTTTTAATTTCATTATTATTTTTTAGATGTAAATCATTAATAGTGGAAGTTCTTAAAGTAAATTTAAGAGGCTCTCCTTAGAAATGGCAATAAGAGATTAGTTTGATCATAATTTTCAGTAGTTAGTACCTTCTTATGATGTTATTTCTAATATTTTGAAGTAGGAATTTAGAGTAAAGTTAATTCAATATATAATTCAAGAAGGATAATGTGTTATATTAGCTTTTGACAGTTAATCTAGAGAAGAAAGTAAGTAGATAATTTCATATTAAAAAATTTCAGAAAATATTTTTATTTAATACTCCTCAAAAGTTCTCTCCAGTATTTGTAATCATAACAATAAATTAAATGTATTATAATAAATAGTTAATTTATAATTTTATCGAATTTGGATGGATAATAAAACATTCATTACTTAAAAAACTTAAATTAAATTGCCTAATCTTATTTAATTATTATAAAATTTGTTTTCAAGAAAAATAAAATTAAAATAGAGTTTCGAATATAATGACTTTTTTCTATTAAACTTAAGACCATTAAAAATGATACTAGTTGCATTGACATAATTTTTAGATTCTGACTTTCAGATAATAATTAAATTTAGGAATAAATTACTATTTAAACATTTAACATTTACAATTGAAACAAAACATATTATATTTCCGATTCAACTCTGTAATTTAATAAAAAGATAGCTAGACTTCGAAGATAAGAATTGGGCAAAGAATAAACTCAAAATTTTGGAATGTATTAAGATTTTGTAAGATAAATAAAAAAAGAATCAAAATGTTTATTTGTTTTCTTTAATTATGTGCTATTATTTCTTGTATTAAACTTTTAATTAGAGTACATTAAGATTTAAAAAAAAAAAAGATTCAAGATAAAAAGTGTCTTTTGAAGTAATTGTTTGATTTAATGATTGAATCTTATTTTCGTAAACATACTTCTTATCAATCTAAATTAAAACTAAATTTTTTATCAAATAAATCTATTCAAGAAAAATTAGAATAATTATAATTAAGGGTTAATATGTAAATTTGAATAATAATTCAATAGCTTTTTTAATATTTTGATTCTTTTTTTATTCTTGCTACAAAACTAAGAAGATTATTTTATAAACCATTATAATCGAAATCTTCTTAAAATGAATATATCATATAATCTATATATAATTCAGTCTTAATAGTTCAATTAATAAGTAAAATTTAAATTGAAAGAGATGGTTAGCCCTATTTAAATTAAATATAATACCATCTAATTGAGTTGATTTAATTTTTAAAGTCTAATAAATAAGTTTTTTATAAATGCTTAGGAATAATAAAATTAACTTCGATTTAAATTTATTTTCTCAATAAAGAAATTAGAATGAATAAAAAAATATTAATGCTATTAAAGTAATCCGAAATATTTTAATTTAATTAGGTTATTTGTTATGAATAATACACTTAATTATATTTAAAAATGATTAATAACAACATAATTAATAATACTATGTCAGACTTTATTTTAATTACTTTATATTACGTATTATTATAATTTTTTTATTTATTTTAGAATATTATCGTCCATTATAGTTTAAAATTTAGTACAAATATGAATAAAATTATAATCATTTGATTTCAACTGTTTTTGTTTTTCTCAAAGTCATCATTTATTCTTACATAACAATTTAAGGAATTTAAGATCTCCTTCTATTTTTATCAACTTAAATAAATTAATCTACAATTCTAAATTAAACCCAAGCTTTTCCTTACATTAATTCATCTAGCTTTAAATAGAAATTATGCTTTACTTCTTCATTAATTTCTTATTCAGTATATCCAGTTTTCTTGACAATCTTCCAAAATGTTAACCACTCTTAAATTGTAATATCACCAGAATTATCAAAATCTACTGCTTTGAATAATGCTTCAGTATTAATTTTAGCAAAATTAGATTACCTTAAGATATAATTAAAAGAATTAATACCAAAATTGTTGTGTTGTTTTCTTATCAATTACACCTTTATTTTCTTTATCAATTTTTTAAAATATTTGAATAGCTTTCATTCTTAGAGGTGCTGATAAATCAGTTTCATGATGCATAGATGAACACAGTCCCATTAATTTTAATTTATATAATATTTTATGGTTTTATAAATAGAAATCTATAGAATATAAATCGAATTCAAACTGAATTTAAATAAACAATGATTTCGATTGAAATTTATAAAGAGAACATAATTTTTAAACAAAGACTAAAATGAATTCTATATTTTTAATGAATTTAAAAAATAAAAAAAATTGAAAAAGGAGTATTAATTATAAAGTTATATGTTTATTTGATTGTTGCAACTTCAAATTTATTTTATGCTTGAATAAAATTTAAATTAAAAATCATTCATATTTATGATAGATGGTTTTTAAAAATCAACAATATGTTATTCTTGAAATTAATTTAATTAAATAATTTATAAAAAGAAAATCAGATGTAAAATATATCTAGAAATTAAATAAGTTTATATAGATTAAAAATAACATGATTATTTCATTATTTAAATCTTAATGAATTGGCATATGTAAAATTATCATAAGTACTTACTTTTAATGTATCAATAGGAGTATCCTTTATTTATTCTTGAGTAAATAGTGGATCGATATTTTATAAATCTAATTCATCTTAAATTTTTGGTATAAATTATGGTTAAATATTTTTATGATATACATCTTCCCAAGATAAGGTTTCAAAAAAAGGATGAGATTTGATTTGATCAATATTTATTCTTTAATTAGGATCATTAATTAATAATCCTGTAAGAAGATTAAAAAGTTTTTCAGAAAAACATGGTTAAATCTCAATTTTCTTTTAAAGTCTATTTTTAAACATAATTTCTTTATTTTTTGAATAAAATGGTGGAGCTCCTGCTATCATTTCATATATTAATGCACCAAGACTCCACCAATCTGCTGATTAATCATGTCCTTATCCAAGTAATATTTCAGGAGCTAAATATTCAGGAGTACCACATAATGTATAAGCTTTTTCTTCTTACTTTAAATTAATTTTAGATAAACCAAAATCTGTTAATTTAAGATGTCCATCAATCCCTATCAATATATTTTCTGGTTTTAAATCTCTATATATAATTCCTTTTTAATGAAGATAATCAAGTGCTAAAATTAATTCTGCAGCATATAATTTTACTCTTTCTTCTGGAAACTTTTAAGATTTTCTTAAATGATAGAATAATTCACCTAAATTAAAAAAAATGAATTACCTCCTGCCAAAAAATCTGTAACTAAATATAATTTTTCTGGTGTTTGAAATGCATAATGTAATTAAACTATAAATGGATGTTAAACAGCCTCTAAAATTAATCTTTCATTCATAGTATGAATTTATTATCCTCTTTACTATATAATATCTTTTCTAAGAATTTTCATAGCATAGTATTTTTTATTCGTTTTATGCTAAACTAACATAACCTTTCCAAAAGATCCTCTGCCAACAACCTTTTTTAGATTATATATTAGTAAACCTTTGTAGATATAAAATCTTCCAGACATACCAAATTTAATTAATCATTTAACTTTATTTATTTTACATCTCCAGATATTTAGGTACTAGAATCAGTTTTTGAATCTTCAATTTTATTCGATTCATTTTGATCTTCTTTTTGTAAACAAATACCCATTATTGATAATATAAATTCAATTAAATAATTGAGAATATTATGAAAATATAGCATATAATTATCTATACAAACATGCTCCATTTTTCTTATAATGCATTTCTTCCCTTGTCTAATGATTTAAGATTACTTTATTTCTTAATCCAAATTTTTGAGTTCTATTTGTATTCCTTAATTATTCACGTAATTTAGCATTTATATCTTGAGGAATATATGGATGTTAAATTCGATTCTTCACTTATACTTCATAAGGAAGTTTGTATCTATTTGTATCAGTTAAATCATATATTTTTCTTTCTTTTGAAAATTTTTATTATTATTATAAATTTCTCATTCTGAATTCATCATTATTTTTATTGTATAAATTCTTATTTATTTTCTAATACTTTGGAGTATTTATTTAATGTTAAAACTCTTCATTTTTCTCTAATATTATTAGAATTTATTCTGGAACTGAATAAATTACTTACTTTTTTATTTATGCTCCTCTTATAGAATTTGGATTACTACTAAGTAATTCATTTCTACTTAATAAAGGTAAATTCATAAAATTTAACAATTATGGACATAAAACCTTTATTTCTATAGGATTCTTTTTTATTTAATCTTTTAAAGACTCACTACTAAACTATTTAATAGGAGATTCTTCTGATTCTAATATTCCTAATAATCCTCTCTCATGAAAATAGAACTACTCCTCACTTTAACCTAAATAATAATAATTTAAAGCTAATTTTTCATATATCTGTAATTCATGTTCCTTACTTAACCAGGCATATTGTAATGCTTTTTTCAATAATATTAAAGCTTCACTATTCATTTTAACTTCTTATGCACAATTAGCTAAACCTATTAATGCTTTTGCTTTTTCACCATGATTTTTTGTTAGTGTATTCAAAACTCTCTCAAATTATAAAAGATCAATACATATTAATTATAATAATAACAAGCATTATTAAAATCTTTTATTTTTAGTAGAATCTCAGCTGTCATACAAATTATGGCACCAAACTATTATAAATTACCACTATCAACTATATAACTCAATTGTATTTTGAATTCTAAACTTAATCAAATTATATTACAATTCATGTAAAGTTCTGATTATCTCTACATTAATTATTCAATTATTCCTTATGTAAACATTTAACCAATATTAACATTTTGTTACTACTATTGTAAAGTTATATGAACACTTTTTCGTTATAATTTTATTTTCTCTAACAGATCTTTTTGGCTTGGATGGGTTTTACTATTATCTAATGTTTTATGTTAAACTGAACGAGATCTTAATTTTTAATTTGTAAAACTGAAACTAGTACATTTTGTTGTCAAAAATGAATCTGCATTCATTCTAATTTTTACAAAAATTTATGTTATGTTTTTATATATATATTATTTCCTTTTAATCATCTTATTAATTACACTTAATTAAGTTCTCACTAAGCTTAAACTTAAAATTTATAAGTAGTATTACAGAATTAAAATGTTTATTATTTATATTCTTGGTTTTAAAGACATTTATTCTACAACTAATTTTTTGTATTAAAATATAAATTTCTAAAACTGATTCTAAAAATACTATTAATCTTTTTGAAACTTATATATCTATAGATAATAAAAGACTTTTAATAAAAAATAATATAATAACGTTAAAAATTTATTAAATATGTGTTAATATGAACAAATTAGACCTATAGTATTTTAAAAAGCTCTTGAAGGAAAATAAATTAGATCTAATTCATTAGCTATTCATTCATCTCCATTTAAATAATAATTTGAATATTCTTTTAATCTGGAAGTAAATTCAATTAAAAATCAAGCAAATCAACATTTTTAGGAAATTAATAATTTTAAAAAACTATAAGTTGGTGAATCATGTTCAAGTAATCATAAAGAGAATTAATATTCTGGAAAACAATTCTCTTTTCGAATGGATGAAACTTCATTTTTAAAATAAAGAATTAAATAACTTGAAAATCAAAATACAACTTATATGTCTGAAAACAAAAAGTTGACTCACGTTTTGGATTAGCAAATAAAATTAAATTAAACACTTTAAGATCAATATTAATCAAAAAAATAAATTATAAGAAAAATGGAAGATGTATAGAAATTAAATAAAAATTAATTACCAAATAATACTGAATTAAAATAAATGAATGATCAATTGATAATATAAAAACAATTAGTAAGTGATTTAGAAGAAAAATTATAATATAAGAAAATTAGAAAATGAATGAATTGAATGAATAATTTCAATTTTAGGACTAACAAATGAAAATCAATTTAGAAAATTATAAAAGTAGATGCTCAATTTTAGAGAATAAATTAAAATAAACTCAGTAATGTAAATTAATATTTTTAGAGATGAATCAAAATGCTTAGAATTATAAAGAAAAATAAAAAAATAAAATGATTAAATCGAGTTATTGAAGAAAGAAAACTATGATATGAAATAATAGTTGAATTTATATAATAATCTTAGTAGCATTCATTAAATTTAACAAGAAGATAAATTATTATTTCAGAATAAGTAATTAAATTTATAATTATAATAGAGATAAATTAAATGAAACTATTTAAGAGTTAGAATATGAAAATAAATATTTATAATAAGTTATAGAAATTGATAAATAAAAGATGAATAATATAGAAGAAAAACTTAATTTATTAACAAAAGAGAATTAGAGATTGACAGAAATAGTTAAAAATCGTCATAAATAATGATTTTTTAAACTAGCGTTTTTTTATTTTATAGTTATTTTTATTTAAAAATTGCATAAATCGAATATATGATTGTAAAATCAATATCTGTAGACTGATCCATATCCAAAAGTTGGAGCAGCATAACTGTAAGTAGGAGCATATCCATAACCATAAGTTGGTGCAACAACACTTGTTCTCAAAGGAGCTACAGGAGCTACATAACTGTAAGAAAGAGGTGAAGCATAGGATACTGGAGCTGGAGGAGCTCTTCTTACCTAAAAATTGATTCAATAAATAAAATACTTCTCTTTCATATTCTAAATAATCAACTCTAGGGACATTCTTTTCTACTGGGACATAATCGATTTATTTCTCATATGAAACTTATGGAACATATTCCTTTTAATATTCTACAGGATAATAATCTGTAACCCACTTTTATCTTGGTACCTAATATTAAATGAGATATACATACTTAAACAGTTCTGACTTCTTCTTCTAATTCAACAACTGGCTTTTAGTAAGGGACATATTCAACTCTAGATTCTCCTCTGATTGGTGAATATTATGGTGCTGCATAAGAAACTGGAGCAGCATATGAGATTGGAGCTGCATATGAAACTGGAGCAGCATAAGATGCATAACTAACTAAAATTAATTAATTTCCATCACTTCATACCTGGAATTGGTCTAGCTAAGGATGTTGCTAAAGGAGAAGCATAAGAAACATTTAAAGGAGGATATGAGTACATCTTGTTATAATTATTAAAGTAAATAAAATTTATTGTTGTTTAATTTATATGTAAAAATTCTGCTACAAAATTTTAATTTATTTCTTTCTTTCTAAAGCATAAATCATGTTATTATATAAACAATCAATAGCAAGAAAATAAATTTATACTTATTTTTTTATTTTATTTTTATTGATTTTTCCTATAATTCACAATATATTTTAAAAAAGCAATCCTAATAATATTTGAAATATCAAGCATTTTAGAATATAATAATTTAATTTAAAAATAGAAATATTTATAATAAACTATTTTAAGATTATGTCGGAATATTTTAGAAAATATATTAAAAAAGAACATTACTCAAATCATTAGTAATAATAATGACCTAAGCTTTTAGTTCTAATTTAAAATTTAAAACTTCATTTAGAAATTGTATTTTAGAAGTAAGCATTCATCAATAATATAAGGCATTAAAAAGAAGGCAATGGAAGGAAGTTGAAGGAGATGATTGGGACATAATGTGGGCTGAAAAAGAATGGATTCATGAAGTTATGGATCATACTCATTTGCAGCCTAATCAAAAAATTAATCATTTTAGAAATCATTACGAAGTATATTTAAAAATACAATAAAAGCTTACGAGAAAGGATTTAATGATTAAGAATTTAAAAAGATTTAAAAGAAACTTAGAAAGAGAAAATAAAATGGAAGAAGCCAATAAGTAATATAATTTATTTATATTTTAAGTTATAATTTCTTTCCTCAAACATTTCATCTACCAAGTGAATATCCAATATTTTGTGAAGAATTTAAAAGATAATCTTAGAATGGTGAATCAAAAACTCCATGGATTATGAAACCTGTATTTTAAAATAATTAAATTAGATTGGTAAATCCTAAGGTAAAGGAATATTTATATTTAATAAAATCTAATCAATATCTCAATGGAAAAATACACTTCGTTTTAATTAAGAAGCATAATAAGCAGAGTCTTATATTGTTTAAAAATATATAGCTGATCCTCTTTTAATAGGAGGAAAGAAATTTGATATGAGAATATATTTACTTTGTACTTCTTATTAGCCATTAACTTTATATTTATATAGAACAGGATTTGCAAGATTTACCCATCATCGTTATGATAATGAAGATATATCGAATACATGTATATATTTTATAATTATTCAGATGTTCATTTAACTAATGTTGCTATTTAAAAAACATCAGATAATTATGATGAAAAGTTAGGAGGTAAATGGAATCTATAAACTTTAAAATTGTTTTTGATGACTAAATTTGGATAAGAAAAAGTTGCTGAAACATTCTATAATATCTAAATGCTCATGATAAGATCTCTGTAGGCAGTTTAAAAAATTATAATAAATGACAAACATTGTTTTGAATTATATGGATTTGATATATTGCTTGATGCATCATTAAAACCATGGCTTTTAGAAGTTAATGCCAGGTATTTAAAATATATCTAACAACTGTAGTCCATCAATGACATCTAATACTCCTATTGATTTTGAATTAAAATGCGGACTTTTGGATGATGTTTTTACTATAATTGATTTGGAAAAGGTTTTAACTGGAAATGAAGAATAAATTGGAGGATTTGACTTAGTTTGTAAAGGAAATCCTATTAAATTACCTCTTAATAGCACCTTTACTACATATCTAGGTTCATTTAATAATAGATAATAATAATTAAAAAAAATTGCCAAATCAACTGCTTTAAGATTAGCATAAACATATCAAGAAATTTAAACTAAATCTGTTGGTGATGGTTCAAAAAATTAAAAAGAAAAAGAGGAAAAAGAAAAATAGTAATAGAGAAGTACATCAAAAGGTCCTCAATCTATGCAAGTATTTTTGCAATATTATTTTAGAATGGAATTAATAATAAAATAGGTATGTAGCCGAAATAAAATTCTATAATTAAAAGAAATGGTACTAATTTACCAGCTTTAGGTACTTTATAATATAAAACAAATGTTAAAAGATAACCTTTATAGAATGCAGTCTAAGTATAACCAGCCTAAATACAACAAATAAATTCTAATAAGAAGTATATAAATTTATAATCATAGAATAAATGAAGAATAAACTTTGACTCCAAATTAAAAACTTTAACAACTTACAATAGACAATAAATTATCCACTTTCTAACCTTATAAATAGTAATCACAATATAATGATGTTATGGGTATGAGCAATAGAAACTTACAAAGAAATGAAGAATGAAATATTCAAATTTGCTAATTATTAACTTATAATAAACACATTTTTTGATTGATTTTAATTTGTTTTCTTTCTAAATCAAAAGCTAAATCTCTAATTTAATTATTAAAATCAGAATAAATGATCTTTTAAACATATTTATTTAAGTATTGTTTAAATTATTCATACAGTAATTTAGTTAAACTAGATAATATTTAATAATTTTTTTCAAATAATGTTTCCGAAATTATCGAATCCAATTTATGATATGGATTTAACTGAAAAAAATAAGTATCAAAAAGATCTAATGTTTCTGGATCTTTAAGGGCTCAAAATATAGAGACCAGCTTAACCATTATTTAATTAACAAATAACTGATAAAAATTTATAAAAGGATGATCCTTCCATATTAAGATTAAAGCATGAAAGATTTTATAATAGTTCAGTACCATAATTACCACCTTTATACATAATTAGACCAATTAGAAAGGAAGGCAAAGATAGAGCTTATATTAAAGCATAATTTATAAGAAATTAGTTTGAAAATTATGAAAAACTATTTTAGAGTTGAATAACACTTAATTAATAACAATTCTGATTTCTATAATGTAATTGAAAAATTATCAAAATCTTTTGCTTTAATTCCATAAATCATCTAATTCTCTACTTTTTTATTCTAAGAGCAATCTTAAACTTCTATTTTCCTTCTCTACTTATTCTAATAATGTTTCATAATATCTCTTTATATGTAATGATTCTTTTTTTTTCTAATCTTCATACATAAAATCATCTTAATCTTTCTGTTTTTAAAATAATAAAAGAGTAGATTTCAAACTCTCATTTTCAATTAATAAATGTTAATTAGTAGATGAAAGCTATAAAATCTATAAATATAAATTTACATCATTTATTTTAAGTGTTATTTATTGTTTAAATTATAACAATTACTCTATTTCAATTAAATGCTATTCTTAACTTCTTTTATATTATATAATAGATTCTTCCATTTATTTTATTTATTGTTAGGTTGATAATTAATATTATATTTATGAGTCTTTGTATTCTTTATTTTTAAGTTCAACTAGTAATTTATTATGATTATTTAATTCAACTATTTGTTCATTTTTTAAATTTAATTCATTCATCAACAATAAATTTTCTTCTGTCCTATAATTTAAAATCTATAAAGAATGAATATTCAAAATATACTTATTCCATTTCTGTCAATTTTTTGTTTAGGTGAAATTTTTCTTATTAGTTATCACTTGTATCATTTTTATATAATATTTATAAATCCTCTAACTTAGCTTAATATTATCTATGTAATTCTTCTTCTTTTAACTTTGATCTTCTCTAAATATTTAAATTTCATATACATTTATTGATTCTATTTCTCTTTTAAATTTTAAAATTTGATTATCCTTATCAATTATTCCTTATTCCAATTTTTAAATAATAAATTCTTTTTCTTTTATATCATGATCCTCAAACATTTTATTAGAATATGTTTAATCAGGAATATCTATATTTTGCAATCGCTCTTTCAATCTACTATTCTCAATAACTAACTATTAATTTTCCATTATCTTTTTCTCTAAATTATTTCTCATTTCATCAGTTTCATCCATCAATTATTATAATTCCTAAAATCTACATATTTTTACTTTAAAACCACTTTCTAATTTTAAAGCACGATCCTTCCATTTTTAAACCTCACTTTCTGAATCAGAGGTCTTGCTGTTGTGATTATTGAAATTCATTTTATTAAAACTATATTTAAAAAGCTGTTAAACAAATTATTTAATAATGATTTCTATGAACCCTTACTTAAGCAAGAATACATTCAATAAATTTTCTTTATAACTTAAAAGATTTTAAATATATCTCCAACCTTATAATCTTTCCAATATTAAATAAAAATATTAAATTATAAAGTTTGTTGATCAATTTTAACATTTGATCTTAAATAATTTCTTACAATTCATTAATTATTTATCAAAACTTAAAGCAGACTTAATATTATTAATAATTATAGTATATATATTATAATGTAATTAAGATTAAACAATTGATTGAGAATAAATATATCATCAATTTTTAAACTCATCTTCAATTATATAATATGTTAAATGCAGAGATTCCATCTGAAAATTGCCGAAAGATATCATATTGAAAGAATCTCCTAATTGTAATTCTAACATCATCTGATTGTAAAATTTTTTCAGTTAATAAATTGTGCAATTTCAATAATTCATTATCTTATGTATCATCAATAAAAGGAGCAATTGGTATGCCGTTATATGGTTAACCCCTTATATACTCAATATATATAACTACATATAAAAAATTGGACTATTATCAATTATTACAATTTTTGAATGATCATTTGATAGTATTCCTAAATGTTTTAGTTGTATTCTGCTTTATAGAGAAATGCAGTGATTTCGACAAAAATGACCTTTAAAGTATATATTTTCTGGATCAATTAGATTAATAATCTAAAAATATATAGTATAATATTTATACTGTTTTAGCATATTTTTAGTTTGCAGAAGTAAATACAAACAAATCAGCTACCATACTTAATTCTTTAAGCACATGACGACAATATGGTCTTATAAACACACCAAATTCATTATTTTGAAAATCATAAACTTTATCCTTTTATACTTCTTCTGTATGAATGAGAGTTTCATCGAGATCAAAAGCTATTTTGAACTATTTTTATGATTTCCCTTAATATAATAAAGTAACTTCAGGAATAAATTCTTAATATGTAATCATCATATGTATTTAATTAAGTGCATCTCTACTCATTTTTTTTAAAGGTGAATTATCTTTTAGACCGCTTGCTAAGATTTCTTTAATTTTATCATAAAAATAATTGCCATGATGCACTTTTTTTAATTGAACATTGTTTATTAAGTTTAGTTTTTTCGTAAATTATGCTGATCTACTTGTTATGATCAATTTTTATTTTGCTTTTTCATCATTCTAATTATTCTAATTAGAAGAATCATCATTAGAATCAATTTTAATTGAATTCAATTTTATTCTTGAGATTGATTGATTCCCAAGTTTTATCTGTTTAGATGTTGTAATATTTGATTATGTACGATTTCTGTTTAATTGCTATGCTAATTTAAGTAATTAGGGCTAAAAATAAATTTAAAACATTAAATACATCTCTTTATAATTGTTTCCATTGTTCTGAATTTACTCTATTCTTTTAAAAAGAAAATGTTTTTGTATTCATATATTTTGGTTCTGATATTCTAAATATTTGATTAAAATAAATAAAAAACAGCTTTTGGTACTCTCAAATAATATTCAGTAAAATTGAATCTTAAGCCCATAAATTTGTGTTATTTTTTATTTCTATGGTATCATATATTTTGTAACATTATTATTCAATGAATTTAGATAAATTTAAATTAATTAGTATTATTTTTATGGAACTCTATTTTTTAGTATTAATTTGTAAAAAAAAAACCATAATTTGAGGAATCTATGAATTATTAATTTAAAATAAGAGTAAATTTTTTGGAATGAGTTAGGTGGAAATATTACTTAATGAATTTTATATAACAATTTAATTGATAAAATATATTTTTCAGATATTTTCACAAAAGCAAATTAGGAAAGAGTTATTCTGCAAATTTAATTATTTCTTCTTCAATCTTACTTAAAGGTATTGTAGAAGATTGCAAATATATTACTCTTTTATCACCTACTTTAATTCCAAAAAACCACATGTCAGCACTATTTTTAATAAATAAAATACTTTCTAATTACATATTGATTGGATAAGTTTAATTTTTCATAGACTTATTATAAAATTCTCAAATTTTCTGAAGATAATTTTTAAATGTTCAATGATGTTGAAATTTTAGAAGCTAGATTGATTCCATTAAAATAAATATATTTTATACTATCTTATTTTTAATTAATTTCAATAGATGTTTCTAATTTATTTGATATTTTGTCCACATTTTTAGACAAAGCAATATTAACTTTGGCCATATTTGTGAAATCTTTAATTATATCAGATATTATAACAAAAAACATTTATTTTTCTAAAAATGTGAAAAATTATTTTTTTTACTAATTTAAGTAAATAATTTGAGGATTAAAATTTGTATCTTTTGTTAAATATTTAAGATTATTAAAATTTAGATATGCCAATTAAGATTATTCATGTGTTAGAAATTATTTTTGACCCACTTTTTATTCTTAAGTTTACCAAGATAATCCATTACCATAATAATGTTCCTTTATTAATAGTGCAATTTTATGAGGTAAAGTTGAATATACAAAATAACCATTATAAAAAACCATAAAATCTGTTATTGAAGATTCAATTTACCTTATCATAGTTAATAAAAATTGTAGCAATAACAAATTGCTTGAGTCACAAGCATATTTAAAAGATAATGTTTAAAAATAAAATAAATTTAGATAAGCGCTAGTTCTTGCATTACATTGAATCCATCTCCATGTAAATTAATCTAATTATGACAAATCTGACCCATAAAATAAAGAAAAATTATTGATATAATTTTCAGCTACATTAGTATATAAGTTTTTTGATAAACTATAATGAAATTTATTGCATTCGCTAAAAAAGTAATCTTCAGGGATAACTTTAACTTTTGGTATTTTTACATGAGCTAGTGTCATAAAAAGAAAAAGATCATTTCTAATTTAACAAATAATATGAGTTTGAGATTCTAGGTGAATTGTCTAAAATTTTAATTCATCTTCTTTATCATTAGATTCCCATTACTTTTGCATCATTTATTCATTAGGATTAAACTACTTAAAAAAGATAAAAATCCCTTCTGCCATACCTGTTTATATCCTTTTTTCATCGATATTTGCATTAGATGGAAAATAGTATATTAACTTTGCATCTTATTGATCCTTTTTATATTTTTATTTAGATTACTTATTCAGAGGGTTTTGGAACTGTAGGAACTGCCATAGGATTAAACATGAATAAGGCTTTCAATTAGAAATCGAATTATAGTTGATCCTAATTCATCTATTTAATAATTAATCAATCAATTAATATAAAAAATGGATATCATTTTATTAACATACTGCATACAGGACAGTTAAAAGAATACTTAATGTGATTTATTATGCACTCATAATGAAATTAGTGATCATTATTACATTCTAATTAAATCATGTATTCTTTTATCTAAATTGGGTGTTAACATAATTAACATTTGTTGTTAATTTTATTAGAAATCATTTTCTTTTTGAATAATAAATTTTTGAGATTATATCTTTTTAATCTTTTAGCTAATTTCCCTATTGATATAAGTATTATAATAAAAGGAAATAAAAATGGTGTAATAAATATGGATAAATATTTTATTATATACTTAATATTTCTTTTTATTGAAAACCCTACAAATGTAATCATTAATATTAATTCATCAATTTAAAAATAGCTTTAATAACAATTAATTATTAATAAGAAAATAACTGAAAGCAAAAGAATGAATTCTAATATATGTTCGATTGTTTGAAATATTTATTAACTAAATTCTAACTTAGTCAGTATTTCTGGAAATAATATTACTTCATTTATAAGGTTGATTTCATTCGCTTATGTCTAATTTTCAATTCCAGTCAAATCTTAAAGTTCTTAGTCTTTTTCTTAGTTTTACATAACATATTTCCAAAGAGCTATAATTATATAGTTTTCATTGATTAAGCGAATTTGTTAATTGATTTAGATAGCTTTTAGTAAATGCAAAAGAAATAAGGAAATAATCCATATATTATAGTAAAGATGTAATCTTAAATGTTTTTACTCTAAATCATCAAAATTCCCAAGAAATATTACAAGAATTATAAAACAAAAGAGGCAACAACACTTAAATTACTTATTGATTTATTCTTTGAAATGATTTATTTTTTCTTCAAACTGTTAATTTGAGTCTTGTTTGATCAATTTTAAGGTTACTGAATCATATTACATTATAAAATTAATAATAAATTAATTTCCTATATTTTATACCTTTGTAAAACATGATGAATATAAACTATTTATCTAAATATATTTAAATTAGAATTTCTTCATTTTCATTTTTAAATAATGATAAAGAAACATTTTAAATTGGCTAAGTATTTGTTTGATATTTTTATTAATAATTATCAAGGGGAATTTTGTAAATTTAAATTACTAGAAAATTATAAAGTATTTTGAGATTGTTTTAATAAAATTTAACTTCTTTAAAGTATTTTACTATTTAATGTATTTAGCAATTTATTATTAATATTTGTTTTATCTAAGTATTGTAACTATAATCAATAAAATTAAATATGAGAAGAGTTTAATCAGCTGCCCCAAATTTAGGTAAAGAAAATAAAGATATAATTAGAATTTACAATGGATGATATGTTTAAAATAGCTACAAAATAAACATCCACTTTTGGAATAGAAGGATATGAAGTTCCAAAAAAATATGCAGATCCTCTAAAATAAATGGAAGAAAGAAAGTTTTCAGCTTAAAAGAAAGGTTAGGGTTTTTAAATTCTTATTTTAGGTCAAAAAAACTTAGGTTATGTAACAAGAAGAGGACATTATTTAGAAGATTAAAAGAAAATTTATGAAAAATTGCCTGCTCCTAATAAATATGATATTGTTAAACCTTGGGTTATTTAAGCTTAAACAACTCGTTCCAGGTCAGCTCCACCAAAAAGGTTGTTTTATTAATTTATAATATTTAGAACAACTTTTATTGATTAAATATTTAAAGAAGCTAAATTAAGAGGAGTTCCAGGTTCTGGAAGATATAATGTTTAAAAACCATTAGATGAAGTATTGAAACAAGTTGAAGAAGAAAAAAAGAAAAAAATTGAGTACTTTAATTATAATAAATATAAGAGCTTTTGAAAGACCAACTTATTTAAATGAAATATAACATTTAGCAATTATCAATCCAGGACCTGGAAATTATAATCCAAGGGTAAAATCATTTTTAATATTTAAGCCTTTATCAAAAAAATTAAAAAAAAATGAAACTAAACCAGCTGATTTTATAACAAAACATAAAGAATAAGCAAAAAAAAGAGGAAAGTCAGCATTACCTGATGTAGGTTCATATAATCCAGAACCTCTTTCATTTACTACATTTAATAAATTATAAGTTAATGCTAAAAAAAAAGAAAAAGTTGATAAACATGTAATTTTTTTATAAATAATTTAGACTTTTGGAACTGATACAAGGTTCAAGGATCCAAAAAAAAGTAAATCAAAATAAATTTTGTTACCTGGACCAGGTCAATATCCTATGATAGTATAATGGTAAGGAAAAGAATAAGATAAATCAAAAGCAAAAATTAAAAATTATATGTAATCCACAACAAAAGGAACATAAAGATCTATATATTATTGAGGTTAAAATTATATTTTTATTAAATTTTGATTTTTAAAAGATTTATTAAAATTTGGAATCTTATTTCTAATTAATAAGAATTCTAAAAGCAAAAGATTTTAATTGATTATTTAACAATAATTCTATAATCATACTTAAAGCTTTATAAGAGCACCATGAAAGTCTTTAATAAAATAGGCTAAAGTGCAAGTTAATGCATCTATATCTTCATATTTATCAGGATCAATGACATCAAGATTTTTATTAATTAATTGTAAAATTTAATTTAGATGTGATTTCTTGAAGGATTTTGCTTTAATAGTTTATAAGAATAAGGCTAAATGATAATAAAAATATTTACGAAATTATTTTTCGTTATCTTGTAAAAATTTGGAGGCTTTATCCCAAAAATTTTAGTCTTCGATTTGATATTTATTAAAGTCTTCAACTATAACTAGAAAAACATAAATCACATATTTGACTGAATCAGGAATTTCATTTTGTTAAAGTAAATCACTTACAAAATTCATTTCTATAATTTCAAATGAATCTACAGTCATAGTTTTAAACTCTAATGGTAGCACAATTTCTTTATCTAATTCTTCAATTTCTAATTAATTTTGAATTAATTAAGAATCATTTCTTTGAATTTAAGAGTCAAAAGTTTAAGAATAAGCCTCACTTTCATCTAATTGTTATAATGATACTTATTATTAATCTTTTATAGATGATTTTTAAATTGATTATTAATTTTCTGATTAAGTTTCTTCAGCATTATTCAATGAATTTTATGGCGAATTAACTTCTTATTTTTATCCATAAAATATTGACTTTTAAGAATTTTTAGGACTAGAAGCAGTTTTAATTTATTAGTCATTAACCAAAGTTAATGATTATGAAGGACTTTTCTTCAATGCAATTATATCTTTTGAAGATGAAGAACGAGATTTTTACTAACTGTTTTATTTGATTGGTTGGGTATTGCTAAATAATTTTTAAGATTCTAATATTTAAGTCTTTAGTTTTTTTGGATCAGGCAATGCTTTTATGGCTTCTTAATGCTTAATCTAACTATTTCTATTATATGAAGATTTATCATTAGATTAAGTTAAGTTTTATTAACTGTTCTGTTGTTAATATTTTGGTTTAGACTATGATAACTATTTATGATCCTAATTTTTTTCTCTTTCTTATTCTAATTTCTTCAATTAACTTTTTATAATAGTAGCATCTGGTTTCTATGCCTAAATTTAATTCTATTACGATAGATGCTAAATTGGATTAGCTGTTTAATGTTTCTAATCTTTTCTAAAAACCTTTTATTATTCTGATCCAAATAATTTCGATTCCAATAATAAAATCCTTTCTTATTATTGCTCTACTTATTTTTCTAACTTTTCAATTTTTTCAGACTATTCTTGAACTATTGATAATATTGTTGCCTCAATCACTTCTTTTATTTTTAACTTGATGTCACTATCTGACATTTATATATTGGTTATTAAATAAATTATTAAAACTTTGATTATTTCATGTAAATTTTTTCATATATTGAAATTTGGGTTAATATGATATAATTTAATAATGAATATTGTTTTCTAAAGTTTAATAATTTATGTGTAATAATAAAAATCAAGCAGATGTATAATTTCCTACTTAATGCTCAAGTTCTGCTACCTTTTATGTTGCTGCTATAATCAATTACTAGATTTAACTCTTTTCTTTTTTTAATTCTGTGATTTAACTTTACAATTTAGAATTTTCATCTTTTTATGTATTAATTGCCTAGCTTGATAGATTATATACTTATCTTAAATCCCTAAGCATTGCATCTAAAGTTGGTTAAGTAGTATTCTTAATTTCCTCATTATTATTTGTTATTCTTTATTTCATTAGATGTAACTCCTATTTTAATTGATCAATCTCATGCTTATAACTTTATAGTAATTCATTAGATAACTCAGTAACATTCTTTTAATAACAAAAGATTATTTACATTAACTAAAAGCAAATGATTTTTAGCATTAGTGGCAGCTTCTTAATCTAATTTAGAACTATGAGGCTATTGTTATTAAATTTCTGACATTTTATAAAAAATATATTGAAAAAAATTTATTTAAATACCCTTATGCGTTTAAGAAGAAAAAAAGAGCAAAAACTTTTTCCTTTTTTTTTTAAAAAAAAATAATTAATTTTATAAAATTTTGTTTTTAATATTATTTTTAAATCACAAGCATATTTAAAATGTTTCAAGTGATTTTTTGCTAGATGATTCTCTTTTGTCCTTTTTTTCCTTAATTTCTTTATATTCACTCTAATCTTTAGATGATAAATCTTTTTAAGAAGATTTGCCTTTTGATTTTTCTTTGATTCCTCTATATTTGACTCCATATCTATGTTTTTTAAATTATCTTTCAGTCTAAAAAACTTTATCACAATGATCACAAGTTAATGAAACTTTCATTTTGATTGATTTCTCAATAGATTTTCCAATTTTTTAAGCACTTTTTTCTTAATTTTATTTTTCTTCTTCAATTTCATCATTTTATGATGCAACTATCTCAATTTCTGGTTAAGAATTCTTTTTTTCAGGAACCTTAGAAATTGGTTCTTAAACAATTTGAGGTTATATTTCTGCTACTTCATTTTCCATTTATCCATTATTATTTGAAATCTAAGATTAAAGTGTATCTATTTATGATGAAAGATCAGCACATTTTTCATAAAGCATAGCTACTGTTTGAAAATGTTGAGTTAATGGAATGTATTTCATTAAATTAATCTATTTTGAGTTTGGAGGTGTGGCATTTTTATACTATTTTTTTCCTGAAAATAATTTTCAATATAATTTTAGATGGAATTTGACAAAAAAAAAGAGGATATCTGGAAAAGAGGAAATTCTTTAGAAGGAAAGGCAATTTTTTTAAAAGCTTTTATTAATTAAATAATAAAAATGAAATAAAAAATAAATAAATAATATTCTAAGTTAAAATTTGAAGAATAATGATTAGGAGAATAGTTCACTTAACTATTTTAAGTTTTTGTTGCACTTCTTTAATTTTAGTAAATTCTGCCTAAACTCTTTTCTTCCATAAATCTTCATTCATTTCTAAAAGTAATAATTTCTGATCAACTTCATCTTTCAATTTCTCTTCTTTCTCAACTTTGATTTCTTTAAAAGAGATAATTTTCTCTTTAATTTAAAGTTGCTACTCTTTTTCTTTTAATTGATTTTATTTTTCTTATTAAACATTAACAATTTTTTTTTCTTATTAAGTAATTCTATTTTTAAGAGATTGAATATTTTCAACTTCAATTTATAATTATTCTTAAAGAATAAGTAATTAAGATTATCTTTCTTTAAGAAGAAGTTTATCTTTTTCAAGTTTTTACCAATCATTTAACAGCTAATTAAATAAAAAAGGAATTTATACTTATTTTTCTTTTTATTTAATTTCATTTTCATATTATCTAATATTTTGCATAGCTTCTCTTGCTTCTTTTAAATCACAAATCATTTGATTTTGTGATTTTTCTAATCTTTAAATTTCTTCATTCAACGAATCAATCTTTTTTAATTTAAAAGTTAATTCTTCTTGAATATCATCTCTTTCTCTAACAATTTTTTTTAATTAATATTTTAATTCTTCATTCTATTCTTTCAATTTAATAAGATCTGATTTAATTCCTTAATTATCTTATAATAATGAATTCATTTCAATAGATCGTTTATCAAGTAAGCTTTTAGTAATTTTGAGCTCTTCTCTTAACAATCTAAGATTGTTATTTTCTTGTATACTAAAATAATCAGATGTAGATGTTTCATTTAAATGACTTTATTATTTATGAAATGAATCTCTACTTCTTCTAACAACTTCTGTTTGAGATGTTTCTAAATAAGAGGAACTTCTTTTAGGTTCAGTGATTAGTTTTTTTTAATGAGTGGATATCATTTTTTTGATAAATCCTATTCGATCCATTATCTAATAGGAGTGTGCCATATTCTGTTTCATAATAATTATATTGTATATGTGTGGTTATTTGAAATTAAATAAAATCTTTTTTTATTATTCATGGGTATTTCAAGAGATAGTAGACACAAAAGAAGACTAACAGGTGGTCGTATGCCAATTCATAAGAAGAAACGAGCATTTGAAAAAGGAAGATAAGCAGCTATGACTAAATTGGTATCTGGAGAAAAAAGAGTTAGAAGATTAAGAGTTAGAGGAGGAAACTTTAAATTCAGAGCTCTTCGTTTATCAGATGGAAACATCTCTTGGGGAAGTGAAGGTGTTGCAAAAAAATCAAAGATTGTTGAAGTTGTTTATCATCCATCAAATAATGAATTAGTCAGAACTAAAACACTTACTAGAGGTGTTATTGTATAAGTTGATGCTACTCCATTTAAATAATATTATTTAAAGAAATACAATATTGATTTAGGAGCAAAAAAGACTTAAAAGAAAGTATTTGTTATTCATTAATAATATAGGATTAACCAGCAACTTAAGAAGTTAAAAAATCAAATTCATTAAAGAAAAAACTTGATGCTAGAATGAAAGATAGAGTTATTGATAATTTAGTAGCTGAATAATTCTAAAATCAAAGACTTTTAGTAAGAGTTACATCAAGACCAGGATAATCAGGTAGAGCTGATGGATACATTCTTGAAGGAAAAGAATTAGAATTTTATATTAAAAAAGTAGAATAAAAGAAAAAATGAGTTTTTCTCTATTCATAGTACATTAGTAATAGATTTATCATATTCATATTTCTTTACTTTCTCTCTATTTATTTTTATTGTATTCTTTTATTTTTTCTTATTCTTCTTATTTCTTTATTTTATTTACATTATATAATCCTTTCTATATTTTTTCTTTAGGTTTTATTCTTTTGGTTGCAAATGATTTGAAACTTCCACTAGCTCACTAGAATTTTACTTTCTTTATCATTTTTTTCAAGTAATTATAATTTATATATTATATAATTAGCCTTTTTAATATTAGTTAATTTTAGAAATTAATTAAATAAATCTAAATTTGCGAAGTTACTTCATTGATATTAAATTTATTTTAACACATTTGAATGCCAAATTTTCAAACTATAAGCAATGCTATCAAAAAGTTTAATGTTTACACTAGACCTGTTAGTTTATTGCTATTAAAAGAATAAGGTCATAGAACTTATTTAGGAGTTTTTCTCACGTCAATATTAATGAGTCTGGTAGTTTTGGTTTATTATAGTGGTCTTGAATCACTTATTATTAGAAATAATCCAAATGCAATTAGTTATACAACCTATGCTGAACATTAAAAACCATTCTATTTGACTCCTTAAAATTTTAGCATTGCCATAGCATAAAAAGGTTATGATCTTAAAGCTTCTTACATACTAGAAGGTTCAATAGGATAAATTGATGGGTAATAATATATTTTAAATCAAAAATAGACTGACCATACAAGAAATTCCTTTGTCTAAATGTATGGATTTCTAATTTTAAGATTCCACTTTAAATGATTATTTTGATAAGAGTGATCAAATATGGTATTGTATTGATTGGAATTCTCTTGATTCAATTGTATTAGAAGGTGGTTTAGAGTCTTCGAAAGATAAATCATTATAAATAATAGTTAAATAGTGTACTTCTAAGTAAAACATTAATTTCAATCATTAGTTTACAGTGCACTTATCCTAATTTTTAAGATAGTGATCAGTTCCTTTTGAAAATTACATCTGCAAACACTGACATTACAAATTTTAAAACTCCTGCATCTATAATAGGAAAAACCTTTTCTCTCACTTCTTTATTAAATTTTACTAAGAAACTTAGCATTATAATGTAGCCTCAATTAGTTCAATCAGATAATGGGTATATTACATAAGATTAATCGCAATAAAGTGTGTTGTCTATATAAAATTATTATGAAACAATTTAAGATAAAACTTAAGAGCAATAAATATTTCAGATTAATATATCTTTGGATTAGAAAACATAAGTAATTCAGAGATCATATCCTAGAGTTTATTAATATTTAGGAGATATTGGTGGATTTTGGGAAATAATATATTTATGTAGTTTATTATTCATAATGCCCTTTAATAATTTATCTTATAGAGTAGCTTTGCTTAATGAATTATTCAATTTCGAAATGGATTATGATAGTAAGGTACATCCTGAGAATAGAGGTAAAAGTAAAGTAAAAGAGATTCTGAATAAATCAGTTTAATTAGAGAAATTTAATAGAATGTCAAAAGTAGCTGAACATGATGTGTAGTAGAAATCAAAATTATTAGATTAGATTTCTAGTGATATAACTTAATTTTTCAAAGAATAGGAAAGTCGTTTAGAACTTCAATTTTTCGATTATTTTGGATGTTGTTAATGTAAGAAAGGGGGAAAGAGAGATTTAATAAATTTTTCAATGGGTAAAATTACACACACATTAGATATTACTTATATAATCAAGAAATTATAGGAAATAGATAAATTAAAATTAATTTTATTAAATTCAGATTAAATAAAGCTATTTGATTATTTACCTAAACCTAAGTTAGGTTTACATATGAAAGCAAGTGAAAATGAATATTGTTCAATATTAAAACCTGAATAATCAGATTTAGACAAAGCTTTAGAAGCTTAGAAAGCATTTTAATAATTATAAGATTAAGAAGATGAAATAACACCAAAATTAGTAAAACTTTTAGATGAAGATTTAGTAGCTTTATTTAAATTATAATTAAATAAGGGAGTTAATAGATCTTTAAAGAAAACAGGATAATTGGCTGATGCTGTGTAATAGTTAATTTTAATGAATGCAAAAAATGTGTAAGAAAAAGGTAATAAGAAGAAAAAAAAGAAGAAGAATAATAATAAGGAATCGAGTAATTCGGATAATTCTGATTCTTCAGGTTCTGAAAATTGAATTATAATAATAAATAATCAAATGATTGAATTTAAGTAAGATTTAAATGATTCTTGACTTTGTATTAACTTTTTGATATTTTCTTTAACTTACTAAGATTTTTCTTACAAATTAAGTTTTTATTCTAGACATGAATTATTTTTCTTTATGATTTTATATTCTTCTAATAAAATAGGATACTATGGAAATGAAATTGAATTTTCAGATATTAGAGTCATACATTTATTGATTAATCTAAATATTTATTCGTTTGTATTTTATTAATGTTTTTTCTATTTATTAATAAGTTACTTAAGTGTTTTTGCAGTAATATTATGAATCTTTTTCTAATTTGAGATAGGACAGAATTCAGTAGTTTGTATAGTTGAGCATGATATTGAATTAGATTTATGAATAGTATTATAGCAAGCAGAATCTGTATGAAATTTCTATTTCTTTTTTGATGTACAAATTTAACTTACTGATTTAGTTTTTGATTATCTGTGCATTTTAATATATTCTATAAGATTACGAGTTTATTGGTTTCGATGAATTCGAGCATCAATTTGACTAGATTTAAGAGAAGTTGAGTATTTTTTGATAAATTCTAATTTGGAACTAACGAATTCTCTACTTACCACAGACAATTCCTAAACCATAGTTTCGATGATAGGAACTAAAATAGCAAATTCCTCATCAAGTGTAGCACATTAAGTTAATATTGATTGCATTTAATTTAACGAACAAAATAATTATGAAAGTATGAAACTCACGATTGCGTCATTATTATAATAATGTAATATATAGGATTAGTCTTACTATTAGCAACAGCTTTATCTTAGAGTAGATTATCAGTAGATGTATATACAGAATCTTTATGTCCTGATTGTATGGAATTTTTATTGAACTCCTTAACAGAGGCAGTTGATACTCCAGATATTGAATAGATGGTAAATATAAGAGTAGTACCATATGGAAATGTTAAGAGAGTATATAATTAAGCAACTGGTAAATGGTAATTCACATGCCAACATGGAGCAGTAGAATGTTATGGAAATTATATCTAATTATGTGGTTAGAGTATATTGGCACAAAAATATCCAACAAATAATGAAATTTTATAAGTTTAATGGGCAATATGTATAGATAGAAGAATATTTAAACCATATACAAATACTCGTTTTGATGAAGCAGCAAGTCTATGTGCCGCTGATTTTGGTATTTCAGGAGCTTCTGTTAAAGAATGTGCTAATGTATGAATTATTAATATATATATTTTTAGAATGATTAAGGTTATAAATTACATTTAGCAGCAGCTGAAGAAACAGATAAACTTTCACCAGCACATCAATATGTTCCATGGATAACAACAAATAAGAGACATAGTGTGACTGATGAAAATCTTATATTAGAAGATTTAGTTACATGGGCATGCAATAATTACAAAGGTGTTAAAATTGATGCTTGCACTACTAGAAGTGCTTGATTTAAATAAATAACAAATTAATCATCTAATATGTTTACATTTAATTTCATAATTCTTGTATATTTACATACATTTTAAATTAACATTAAAGATTATTATTATTATTATTATTATTACTAAATCAATTTTGAAAGTTTCATTTTCAATTGTTTAATACAAAATTTAGATATTTTAGATATTTCAATTTAACATCTTTTATATTCTCTCATTTATTTAGGATAGCTTTACATTAATTAGGTTAAATTAAATTGTAATTTATATCAATCTCCTTTAACTTTTTCTTTAGATGACCCAAATACAATAGGAGATATTATTTATTTTTCTCTATTATAATAGATGTTTATAATCTTCTAGGTTATCTTATTACAAAAGAATTAAACTTAAATTTAATATTAGTGAAATAAGAGTTTTTATTATTAATAAATATAAGTATTTATTTTCATTTCTTTTTCTTCCCTTTTTTTGTAGATTTTTTAGGTTTAACTTTTTCAATATTCTAATCTTGTTATTCTTATTATTGTTTCTCATTATCAACCTTTTCTTCTGCTATTATCTATTATTACTATTAAATTTATTATTCCTTTTCAGCTTAATTATTTTATTCAAATTATTATTTCTATAATTTCATCAATTCATCTCTTAATTATGCTGTCTACTTCTCAATTTCTTCTCCTTTAATTTTCTTTTCTGCTATTCCCTCTTCCAATTTTTATTATTCATCCTTAAATTTTTACTCTTGATTATCCAATTCTTTTTGTAATCTCTCAAATTCCTATTCTAATTCTTTCCTTTTTTAATATACAATCTAATAATCATTTCTTTAAGTTTCTAATTCTTATTATTTTAATTATTTTGATCTTTCAAAATCAGCTTACTTATCTTCTATATTCTTTTTCTTCTTCTCTATCTAATTTAATAAATCAGTAATTCTCTCTTATAATCCAGCTCTTTTAGCTTACTCCTACTATTTAATTCTCTCCATCTCTACTATTACTTATTATTTCTTATCTTCTATCTACATTATTTCCTTCTCTTATTATGATAATTTATCTTTTGCTATCTATATTTTCTTCTATTCATATTTCAATCTATATATTTCAGTTCTAATCTTACTTGGTTCCTTCTCTTCTAATATCTTTTAATTTCTCAACAATATTTTTTATATCCTATTCAAACAACATAATGATAATCTATTTCCAGTCACTTGTAAATCTATTATCACTTAATTCTTCTCTACTATCTCCAATATTAATTTCTCTACTTTCTCACTTATATAATTATCATTTGCCTTCAAATGAGTGAAATTTGTAGATTCTCCTATAAATGTTAAAAATGTCATAAACTAATTTATTCTATTTTATATTATATACCCCTTAATCTGCAACTCTACTTGATGATACATCTAATTTCTCCATTATTCTATTATTACATAACATTATCATTGATTCATCTCCCAATAAATTCTTTGATAAATTTAAAATCTTTATTTAACTATTTGGTAATACATCTGCCAAATATCTTATCCCATCAGGTGTTATATCATTCAAAGATATATCTAATTCTGATAAAGATTCACTCTCATATATTGCAGATGATAAAACTTATAATCCTTCATCTCTTATTTGATTCCCTCTCAAATTTAATGAAACCAATCCAGATTATTATTATACTATACCATATGCCAAAAATTCTACTCCTTTTGGACCTAAATCATTAAATTCTAAATTCAATCTCTTTAATGTCCTATTATTCATCAAATAATCCTAAAACTTCATTGTAGGACGGATACTATTCTTTGATAGATCTAAAGACTCCAAATTTTATCCATTCAATAAAATTGTTTCTATTCCTGCTATCTTTAAATCATTTTCTGCTATCTTTAAATGTTTTATGCTCTAATTAGTTTTCAATGCTTAACCTATGAATTCTCCACCTGCTGTTGTTATTACATTATCCTATAGTTTTAATGTTTCAATCTTTTTATTTGATAATAATAACTAAGCTATATGTTTAGCTCCTTCAAAACCTAATGCATTTTTTCTTATACTCCCTTCCAATACTCCTAAATCTAAAGATTTCAATGTCTAATTCTTGCATAAATCATCTATTATCTATCCTAATCCTATATGACTTATCATATTCGAAGCTAAATTCAAATTCTTTATCTATGAATTTCCTAATAAAGTCTTTATAGCATGAACTGCATAATCACCCAATGTATTATCTGCTAAATTTATTGTTGTTTACCCTGGTTTTTAATTTGCTAATGCAATCAAAGTTGTAACTCCTAATCTCATTGAATATAAATTCAATACATCAGGAAACTTTTTAGAATTAATCTTATTAAATTCCTCTTTAAATATTTTTGCCTATAAATTAATATTTATTTATACTCTCTCTATTGAAACTGTTTCACCTGTATCATGACATCTTGCATTAAATAATTCGGCCTGTAATTCATCCAATACCAAAAATGCAGGATTTTTCTAAAATATCTAAGGTAAATTTGATGGATCACCACCATATGCTATTACCTTCTATTATTTTAGAAACTCAATCTCTTTTGTATATTCATTAGTTGCCAACTTTGGTTTACCTGTTTGAGGTCTCATTAACTTTTAATAATAATATTCATTTTTATAATCCTTATAGTATGTATATTATTAGTTTCAACAATCATCTAATAGTTTCTCATAAGCATCATATTATTTTTAATTACCTCTTACATTCTAAAATTATTCTATTACTTCTACAATCTTTATTGTCAATCTCCCTAATTTTTTTATTGTCACCTCATCTTAATATAGATTTTAATTCTATAGACTTCATTCTAATTAAGATCAATCTTTAAGATCAATCTCTAAGTTCTTTGTTTTATATTACAAATTTAAATACAAAATTACTAATTTTGATAGACTTTTAATATTATTTAAAATATATAAACATCTAATCTAATTANCAAATTTTATCCATTCAATAAAATTGTTTCTATTCCTGCTATCTTTAAATCATTTTCTGCTATCTTTAAATGTTTTATGCTCTAATTAGTTTTCAATGCTTAACCTATGAATTCTCCACCTGCTGTTGTTATTACATTATCCTATAGTTTTAATGTTTCAATCTTTTTATTTGATAATAATAACTAAGCTATATGTTTAGCTCCTTCAAAACCTAATGCATTTTTTCTTATACTCCCTTCCAATACTCCTAAATCTAAAGATTTCAATGTCTAATTCTTGCATAAATCATCTATTATCTATCCTAATCCTATATGACTTATCATATTCGAAGCTAAATTCAAATTCTTTATCTATGAATTTCCTAATAAAGTCTTTATAGCATGAACTGCATAATCACCCAATGTATTATCTGCTAAATTTATTGTTGTTTACCCTGGTTTTTAATTTGCTAATGCAATCAAAGTTGTAACTCCTAATCTCATTGAATATAAATTCAATACATCAGGAAACTTTTTAGAATTAATCTTATTAAATTCCTCTTTAAATATTTTTGCCTATAAATTAATATTTATTTATACTCTCTCTATTGAAACTGTTTCACCTGTATCATGACATCTTGCATTAAATAATTCGGCCTGTAATTCATCCAATACCAAAAATGCAGGATTTTTCTAAAATATCTAAGGTAAATTTGATGGATCACCACCATATGCTATTACCTTCTATTATTTTAGAAACTCAATCTCTTTTGTATATTCATTAGTTGCCAACTTTGGTTTACCTGTTTGAGGTCTCATTAACTTTTAATAATAATATTCATTTTTATAATCCTTATAGTATGTATATTATTAGTTTCAACAATCATCTAATAGTTTCTCATAAGCATCATATTATTTTTAATTACCTCTTACATTCTAAAATTATTCTATTACTTCTACAATCTTTATTGTCAATCTCCCTAATTTTTTTATTGTCACCTCATCTTAATATAGATTTTAATTCTATAGACTTCATTCTAATTAAGATCAATCTTTAAGATCAATCTCTAAGTTCTTTGTTTTATATTACAAATTTAAATACAAAATTACTAATTTTGATAGACTTTTAATATTATTTAAAATATATAAACATCTAATCTAATTATTTTACTGTCAAATTCTCCTATTTCATTATTTCTTTTGAACCACTTAATTTCATACAATCTCTTTATTTTTTCAAAGTTACTTTGTGATTGTATTAAAGAATAGTCAATATTTACCATTTATTCAAAAAAGCATATTGGATTTTATAAAAATTCTATAACAACATTATTATTAGGTAATTATTTCTTGATGTCATTAAAGTAGATTTAGAATTTCTACTTTCTTAATCTCAATATTTAAGTATTTTCTTAAACAAAACTGATTAAATATAGAATCCCAAATTCTTTTAAGGTAAATTTTTTTTAGAATTTCAGCTTATGTTTCAAATAAATATTCTGACAATAATTCAAATTCGCCATAACGTCTATATACGATAATGTCTCCATTTTTTATTGGATAACAATAATGACCTTCCTTATAATTAGGATCATCAACAATTATAGTTTAAGTAATTTCTTATTATTCTTATGATAAAAGATCAAAATTTAAATAATCTTTTAAGTGAACATTATGAATAGTTTCAAGAACTTAAGCTAAGTTTGATTTATATTTACTTACAATCTAATTAATTTAGTATTTGCATTTTCTAATATTAAAATAAAAAACTTATTTTGGTGAGATTAATTTCTTCATATCTAATATATAGTTAATTTAGAATGATTTGTAGGAATTATGAAAGAAGAAATAGAATAGGAAAATGTTTATATAATAAATTATGTAATATTTATTTTGATAATAATTTTAAAATCACCATTCCATTTATTAGGCTTCCTCAACTTTAGGTTAGGGTTGATTCTTTTTAGTCGAAAACTTTTCTCGATCCCTACTGTTACTTCTATCTCTTCTAGAATTGTTTGATTTAGGACAATTTTTCTTAATATGTCCATTTTAGCCACAATTATGGCATGCACCCACTATAAAAAATAATAGATAATAATTTACTTTTAGAATCTCCTCCTGTATTTCTTGGTTTATCTCTAGTTTATCTACAGTCATTTGCATTATGTCCACGTTTATTACATTTAGAACAAGTAACATTGTCTAAGAAATTATAATAAAGAATATAAATTACATGAGGAATCTTCATGTTTGACTCTTTCTTCTTTAGTTTTTTCTTTTTTAACTTCCCATTATGAATTTAATTAGTTTAATCTATCATTAGTTTCTGGAATAGGTGGTTTAGTTCTTTTAACATAATCTTTATATTCTTAAGTTCTAAAGTTTTTCTTAAACCATAAGGTTAAATCTTTAAGATTATTTTACATAACCGAATGAAAATTTAGACCTTCAGGTTTAACTTTAATATATTCTTTTTCAACTTTATTTTTTTATTTCATATACATAAGTACAATGTATTAGGGTGCTTTATCAGTAACACAAAATCCATATGGAATGATTTCTTCATCTCTTTCTTTGTCTTCTCTAAGTTTCTTTTCTAATTAATCCATTTTTATATTATAAAATTTTTTATTGTTAACAACAGCTTCCATATGTAAATTACATTGATTAATATAATTTTCAAAGATTTCATCAAAAGATTCATAAGTTTTACCATTCAAAAAAAGTTAAGGTTTATAACTTTAGGAAGATTTTAATTCTTAAACATAAAGATGAGCAATAACACCTTCATGGAATTTCCAAGTGATAGTTAAATGATCTTTAAGTCTTTAATTAGGTCTAATAATATATTCTCCAACAGGTTGACTTTCAATATATTCAAGAGCACCTTTAAGTAATACTTATTTAAATTTAGGATGATTAATATTTCTAAGTATTAATTTTTATGATTATTTTTATTTATTAGGCATTTAATCTTATGGTATGGTAGTCTAATCAAATTCTTTGAATTTACTTTAATCAAATGTTTATATGACTTTATTACAATAATCATCATAACAAATATTGGAATAAGGCCAAGGATCATATTTATGTGGTTTAAGATATTCTTAATCCCATCTTTACCAATCTGGTTTTAAAGACAATTCAATTATTAGTATATTAATACTATCATTTTTATTATTATTTTCTGTTGCTGGTATTCTTTTTACAAATGCTTTAATAATTTATCCAATTCCAAATTCTTATTATAACATATCTTCTTTTCTAAGAGTACCACATAAACCATTATCTGAAAGCTTTATTAACAATTTATCACTATCCTTGCTCTTATCTTTGCTTTCTAGTTTTTTAGTAATTTATCCTTAAACTATACTATTCTTACGGAAAGTATATGGTGATTCTTAAGTTATAGCATAAAATATTTCAGAATTACTCATTTCTTTATTGGCAGTATCAAATTTATATAGAAAAGGATTTGTTAATTCCTCTTTCATAAATTAAGCTACTAAAGTAAATTTTTCACTTCCATCTTTTTATTCTCTTTATTTAGCCCAATCTTCTAATTGAAGATCTTCCATTTTTTGAGGTTAACTCATTAATTATCTTACAATAGTATTTTATTTATCATCCCTTCCACCAACTTCTAATGCACATTTAGCTATATGAACAGCATCCGAATACATTTTAATTTATAATCTTGTTATATCCAAAGGTTAAATACCTCTCTATATTTTAATAAACCCTTAAACATTTTTAAATACTACTTTTTTAAGAATCTAAGTCTTTAGAATATCTTATCTTTATATTTAAATATATTCCTTTTAATCTTATTCTAATTTTTAATAGATGAGTCTCTCATCCTCATAGTTATTATTAAATAAACTCTTACTTAATAAACCTTTAACCATACTTAGTAAATGTTATGCCTATCTTCTTCCAAGACCATTCACAAATTACATCTAATCTGCTAAATGTTTATGCAAAGTACAATCTACTAAATCTATTCCTACCTAATTAACAATTTCCGTTGCAGTTTATTTAAGTGCATCTAATAAAACCTATTAACTAACCATTGATTATAAAGGATGCAAATTTAAATGTAAACATCCATTTTTATCTATTGAATCACTCCATAAATTAAGTACTTCAGCCATTGGATTCAATTTATATCTTGCTAAAGATATAGCTTCTTTAAGAATTGGTGGAATATCTGGTAATTAAGAATTACTCTTCTCACTCATACTATAAATTCTAGAGATTTATGAATCCGCCAATGTTATCCAAACAGATGATGTTTATTAATATTTCTTACGTAAATCTACTCTTAATTTTAAACAATCAGAATGATTTGCTGATATAACAACAAGATCTGGCTTATATTTTTCAAAGAAATTATCAAGTAATGCTTATTCTTTCCTTATTTATTCTACCATATCTGGTCTTCTTTCATCTTATGTTAAATAATTAAATATTTATAAAGTTTATTATTCTCCTTTGTAATCAATAACTGACATTCCAATATATTTTTTTTAAATTGAACAATCTTAAGAATAAGCTTTAAGTACTTTAATATCATTTTATTCTTAACCAATAACAAGTGACATAATTTTAACATCTGGGTTAGTTGTTTATTACATTTATTAATTATTAGCCACTTCACTATTATGAGGTTGTTTATTAATTAGTTATTTGAATTTCTATTAACACATCTTAACAATATGTCCAGAAGAAACAAATTGTAATTTATATTTAATTTATTTTTCTAGAATAGGATACCATAATTCCTATAATATACCTCTCAAAATAAGATCTCTAATTCTCATAACACTCTCTTATTCTTTATCATCTATTTTAACAAACTTATCATACAACATTACCATAATATCATCTCTAGGTAGTTTTTCTTTCTTATGATCTTTATCCTTTGAAATAGTAAAACTTATTTTAATATATCCTAATTATTCTGCTCTCAAACATTACATCCAAGTTTAATCTTCCATATATTTATATTATCTGTATTTAATTCTTTTAACAGGATAGAAATAACTTACAGCTGTGATTTCTCTATTCCCTAATTGAGTAGGTTCAGTAGATATTAATAAATTATCTCGATAAATTTGACTAATAAAATCTCTAATAAATGGATGATGATACAATTCCATCATTAAATACTTTTGTAATAACTTTATGTATTCAGATGAATCCTAAGATCTTGATTCTTAATTCTCTTATTAATGATTCCATAACTCTTCCTTATCCTATATAATCTTCCTATCTAATTACACGCTCTTCCCTTATAATTTAATAAAGAACTCATCTGATGTATAACAGAATTTTAATGCTGTTTCATCAACTCTTAATTTAATTTATTCTAAAATTGCCTTCTCCTTTTTATGAGGTTTCTTTTTTGAATTCAAACTTAAATTCTACAATTCTTTCTATATATTATTTATCTTCATTGTCAATTACTCTTATTCTTACTCCATTTATTAATCAGAATTCATTCTCTAATGCAATTTTTAATTCTCTCTCATTAATTCTTATTCTAAAAACACCTTCTTCTTGCAATTATCCTTCAACATTAAATAATCTATATAATCTTTTAAATTCTATAAATCTTCAATCTCCTTAGCTTTCTATAAATATATAATAGCTGTTTCTTTTTGTATCTAATAATCTCCAGGTATCTGATCTATTAGTTTAGAAATTCTATTTTTAAAATTACTGAAATGTTCCCACTCATAATCTAGTTCTCTTATTTTCCAATAATGTTCTAATTAGAATGCCTGCGTTATTAAATGACGTTTGTATGTATAGATATACATTATATCTAAATTCTCTTTTCTATAGAACTCTAGAATAAGTTTGATTCCAACTAAAACATCTGGTAAATTTTTTAAATCGAACTAAGAATACATTTTTTCTCCAATCCATTTCAATTATTATTCTGATGCTTCCTCTCTTGCATTCTATAATATTTATCCATTAGCCATCTTCATATGTGTTATTTAAATTGATTCAGGTACATCTTATTTTAATATATCTTCATCAATCTAATTCAAAAATGCCAACTCTCTTTAACTTGGATCAAACAATTTATTAATTAAATCATTCTATTCATTCTCATCAATTGCCTCTGGTGATAATGGCTCTTAATATTATCCACCTTGTTCATCATCTAAATCCACTTCATCATCATCTTTTGCTATCTTCCTCAATCTACCAAATTTAGGTGCTCTCTAATTCTCATCTATTAACATTAAATCATCAGCTGATAACTCTGCATCATAAGAATCATCTCGTCTATTTATTATTTATAAAACTCTTACTCCTATATTTCCTCCTCCTCAATATCCTCATCTGAATCAACTACAAAATCATCTTTCTAATAATCATTTCCTCCTTCCTCTTCTGATGACTCCACTTTCTATTTACCTTTTCCCATTATTTAATAAATTTAATGCTTTTAAAAAATTATGCTTCAATTTATATTACAAAACTTTTACAGCCATATTAATTAATTTTATTATGTAAAACGAAAGGTTATAACGTCTTCTTAGATCCAAAGGTACCTCCTACATTCCTCATCATACACATACTATCTCACCTTTCACTAAACCAACTCAAAATTCCAACATTCAATCCAACAAATATCTAACTAATTATGCAGTCTAAAACTTATAAAATTAATCTACACATATTACTATGTATTTTCATTTTTACAATCTAGAACACCATCTACAGAAAGAAGACTTATACCTACCACATAACCTATCAATCTTAAACCACATCAATCTTCATCTGTCTCACCTATACGTCTTGTTCAAATGTCAACTGAAAGAATCTAATAACCTTAAGAAATACATGAAGTTCATCATTTTGAAAGACCCATTCAAGTTGTTACTGCTGAAGACATGGAATATAAATACAAATTCAAAATTTCATAATTAGAATCTACTGTCTATCAATTATAAGTTGAAAATTAAAGAATTAAAATTAATGCATCCATACAATAATCTATTCCTATTGAAAATATTACGAAAAATAATGATTTTGAAAGAATTAATTCAGATCTAAGAATTAAAGAAGAATAATTTAGAATTGAAATCAAACAACTCAAAGAAGAAATACTAAATTGGAAAAATAGATATTCTTAACTTTAATAATAATCATCCAATTAAAATGGTTTCAATGAAGAAATACGATAACTTAAAAAAACTATTACATAATTACAAGAAGATAATCAAGATTTATAATCACAACTCAACAATAAAGGTCAAGAAATCATGAAAGTTAGAACCATCTTAAATGAAAAAGATGATATCATTGATTAACTTAATGACTAAATCTAAGAACTTCAAGTTGTTTAAGAAAATTACAGCCGTGTTGAAACTACATTAATTTCTTTGCAAGGTGAAGTTGATGTTTGGAGAAAAAAGTTTAAAGAAAAAAATGAAGAAGCTTCTGAATTAAGTGAAAAACTTATAATGGCTGAAACCTCCTTAGAAGCAATGAAAAAGAGATAAACTGTTCAAGTTAAAGAAGTTAATGTTACTAAAACTAATAATAATAAAATTGGTGCTACAATGACATAATCTATAGATATGCCAGGTAGATTTTCAACAAATCGAGGATCTCATTATTCAAACAAGCAATAAACTTGACATCTGTTGTTTTAATTTTTTTTAACTAAGTTTTTTTTTATTTAATTAATACAATAAATAATTTTTTATGATTCCAAATAATAACACTAAATAATCTTTTCAAGACTTGACTAAAAAGATTATATTGGCTACCAATATACTTGTTAATAAGATTGAGATTAAAGCTCATGAATATTAGACTTTTTGGGAATTACTTAATGAAGTTTAAGATAATGCTTCCATTTATGTTCTTGAATTATTAAAAATTATTGATTAAACTGAATATAAAAGAAAAAAAGAACCATATAGTTTAGAAAGTTTACTTGCTACTTTGTTAACAATTAGTATGTTTAAAAATGTCGAAAATGTTAAAAAATAAAAAGATTTTAAGGAAGTAAAATAAAATTGGGATCATCATATTGTTAGTGCTCATAAAAAATAATAACTAATGAATCCATACTCTATATCAATAGTGTGTAATTTACACTTTATTTTCGAATCCCAATAGTTAGAAGATACTAATTTTACAGGTTTTTTAATAGGTGCAGTTGCATTTATGCCAGATTTATTTAAAGTTGCTAAGCCTGAAAACATTGAACTAATGTATGATTCTTTGAAATAGCATTATTAATTGGTTGAGTAATATGGTAAAACAGTAAGAATTAAAAACGATTCCTTTTATAATTTATTACTGGATGAAAGATTTGATTTACAAGAAACTGGAGAATTTATGTTTTGCTATGAATATTTAATTAAACAAATAAGAACTAAATACAAAAAATCAAGCAGAGTTTATTACGATTCATTATTAAAATATTTTAAGATGATTCCATTTATAGCTTAAGATTTTCCAGAATAAGCAGAAAAATCTGCATTATCACTATTGCATATGACAAAATAATTGATTACTTTTTATTGTTGTGAAATAGTTGATCTTTTGAAATCACTTCTTAATTAAATAGAAATATTTAGAAGATGGCCATTTCCAGTTGGAGTAATGGCAAATGAATTGGTTTAGATATTATATTAAGAATAAAAATCAAGAGGAAATGCCTTTAGAATGAAGATTAGAGAAGAAATTCCATAGATTGATTTTTTAGATGATGATTAATTTTAAGAATTATAAGATTAAAGTAGTTAAGATTAATAAATTCCTATATCAGGATTAGCATAACCAAAATAAGAATCATAAATATTATCTGTCTATGTATTTTATGAAAATAGATAAAATAATGCAAATAATGTATTATAATATGCATAATTTGTTTTAAGAAATAAGAATCCAAATAATGCATAATTATACACCCCAAATAGTTTAAGATGTTATATTTGTGCATAAATATTGTAATTATATCAAAAAAAAAATGTATAATTTGAATTATTTATAATTAGTAAGGAAAGAATCCAACTCCACAATTATCAGCATTCAAAGAAGTAGATATATTTAATTTATACTGTAAACTGTTGACAATTGTTGAGAAATGTGATAATTTGGATTCTATTGCTGATATAGAATTAATATATGAAAATGCTTTTGATGAAATAACTAAAGACTTAATTAAACATAGTTAAGAACCAAATATTAATTAAAAAGAAGTTCAAGCAGTAATGAATAATCAAGTAATTAATAATTTTGATTATTTTTAGTTATCGATTCCTGATTTTCCTTTGTTTTATTTTCATAATGTAATATAGAAAAGTTTTACTTTTACTGCTCCAAAACAATCTTTTTTAAAATTAGAATAAGGATAATATATGGCACCTAATTAATTAATTAAAGAGTTTATTTAAAGAGCATATGATAACCATATGCCTCTACATACAGAACCATTAAGATTGTTAGTAGTAGGATCAGATGCAGAATTATTTGAAGTATGTATGTTGTTAGGGGAAATATATTTAAAGGATCCATTCTTATTGAGAACTTTGGATATTAGAGTTTTTATTGTTCCAACTAAGGATTGTGCTTTGGCATAATTTCTTGCAGTAAAAGATCCATGGTATTAAAGATATCTTTATTTACCTTTTATGGAAGATATTCTGATTCCAAAATTAGAATCTATTAAAGAAGATAATAATAAATATGTTTAAGAAGCAAATAAAGTGTTAGGATAATTACCTTTAGAATAAAAAGCTTGGTGTTTAAATACATATTTAAGAGAAGGGAATAGAGCTTATAATGTTAGAGTTTATAAGCTTAAAATCTTTTAAAAAAATTTAAGTTATGGAGGAATAGCAATGACTGAATAAATGTAAGGTTTAAATGCAAAACCTTCAAATTCAACTGATGGAATTATGAAAAGTACTCTGTTCTTTTGTTCATATGTAATGTTTGGTGCTATTGCTGAATTTGAATTACAAAAAGAGAAGTCTAAGGATGAAAAATTATAGAAATTATCATTTTATGATTTTAAAGAAAAAAACCTTTGTAAATTTTAATATTTAAATATCAACATGTAAACTGAATAAACTGATATGCTTGGAAATATTACAGCGAATATCAATAAAGACGATAAGATTTAAGTTTAATTACATAATTGCAAAATTAACAATGTCTATACAGATTTTTTTGAGGGTAATATGCCTATGCCTCATACTGATTGGCTAGAGTTATCTTATATTACTTATGAAAATTCTAAATTATTTGATAGTGGATTGAGACAAAAAAACATTTTTAAAAAACATTCTTAAGGTATTATATTATAAATAACTTAAGAATCAATATAAAATGCATTTAAATCTTTATTTACAAATATTTCAATAACAAAGATTAATGTAGAGGAAGCCACTAAAAAACCATTTTCAATAATTGTTGATGGAAATATATATACAGATGTAGTTTAATTTAAGATTTGTAATACTCATATGAAAAAAGCAAAGATTGCTTAAACATAAAAAAAGAAGGATAATCCAGTTGATTTAAGTTCAATAAAACATTTGAATTTACCAGTGATGAGTTTTTTACCATTCAAAGTATGAATACATTAATCTATATAAATAATTGTCATAAATTAAGAATTTAATTATAAAAATGAAATTACCAAGTATTAATAAACCAACATCAGCATAATCAGGAAATCGATAATTACCACCAAGGTAGAGTAATAATGGAATAAGCAATTTAGAAAAGAATTTATTTAATAAACTTAATGAATATGATGATTTAAATAAGATTGATACTAAAAAGATTTAGGTTTCAGAGGTGAAGTTTAATAATAAGAAAATAGATAATTCTAATGATCAAATGGAATCTTTAGCTAAGAGAGCAAATACTTTGAAAAATTATAGTTAAACAGAGAAGATCAAAGATTTAAAATCATCATAATAATAAAAACAAAAATAATAAGACACTGTTTTTTTGACTCATAATTAATAGGTTAAATCAGAAGAATCTAATAGTGATTAGAATGATAGTAATTCTGATAGTAGTATAGAGGATTTATTATAGAAAAGTAGAACATTGGATAAATAGAAAAAAGTTATGTTAAATTTTGAAGATGATAGTGAAGTTGGATAATTAAATAAGATGTTATTTTAAAGTAAGATTATAAAAGTGTATAATTGATAGCTGATATTGATTTAGATGAATAGTTTTAGAGTATGTGCATTTTGAAAAAAACAATATCATAGATGTAAGAATCAATGAAATCTTTGGGATATGGAATCAATGATAACTTAATGGATGAATTGAATTAATAATATGATGAAATGATAAAGCTGCAAAGGGAATCCTAAGTAGCTAAGTGAAATTAATTAGGCAATTGAAGAATATTAAATGAAAGAGAGCAATTAAAAAAATAAAATGCCTGCATTACGTTCAAACAGTGTTAATTAATAAAAAAAATAGAAAAAATGATGAAATGACATAGATATATTTTAATATATATATATATATTTGTGATTATCAAATTAGTCATCATATATGATCTAACTATGGTATTTTATTTATTAATAAAAATGTAAAATCAAAATATTCCACAATATGAATTTGACACTACAATTTACAAGGACTATTTAAAGAATAAGATTATTGCATTATTTGAAACGATGCCTGGAAATAAATAGTTGATAATGAGTTAGAGAGTGTTACAATTACTTAAATTAAGCATAGAAAATAAATTACTATAGGAAAGTGGAATAAAAAAGACTTTAACAATAGAGAATATAAATTAAATAGAAAATGATATTACTTAGATCTTTATCATCATTCCACCTAAATTAGATGTAACAAGAAAGATTGCAAAAATGATAAAAGCAGCAAATGGACCCAATAATACCTATAAGTTAGTATTTTGGCCTTCAAGAACAATCTTAGCAAAGGAATTATTGGAATAAGAAGGAGTTTTAAGTAGTGTGGAAATAAAGGATTTTTCATTTGATCTTATTCCACTTGATTTGGATGTATTAAGTTTAGAAATGCCTGATGCTTTTAGAGATATGATGATAGATTAAGATTTATCAATATATAATTATGTTGCAGATAGTATCAATAGAATATAGATTGTGATGGGAAATATTCCTAATATATATTGTAAAGGAGATGGAGCTAAAATGGTTTATGATATTATAAAAGTAGAAAATTAATAATCTGATTAAAATCAAGATTCTTAAGAGGTGGAATCTTTAATTATTTATGATAGAAGTGTTGATTTAATAACTCCGATGTTAACCTAATTAGTTTATGAAGGATTAATAGATGAATAATTTGGCATCAATGGTAATTTAATTAGTTTACAAAAGAAGGTATTTGGAAAAGATGGATAGGAAGGAGAAGAATATTAAACATTATAATTAAATTCTGAAAAAGATCCTTTGATTTATAAGGTAAGAGGATTATAAGTGGCATCATTAGCTAAATATTTATATGAATAAGCAAAACAATAGGAAGCAGAGAAGACTGAATTTTAAAAGGAAAAACAAGCTCAATTGAATGAAAAGATTGTATAATAGGCAAAGAAGATTAAATTAGAATAGGAATCAAATTCAAGACGTATTAAAATTAGATATATATAGATCTAAATATAAGTGGAAAGATAGCTGAGAATATTAAAACAATTTCATTTTATAAGTTATTGAGTTTAGAATAAGGAATAATTAATGGAGATAAAACAGAAAGAACTTTAGATTACATAGAAGCTATGATCTAATTAGAAATGGATTTAAATAAGATTGTTAGATTGTTAACTTTAAGAACTTTAGTGGATGGAGGTTTGAAGCAAAAACCATATGATTATATGAGAAGAGAAATTGTTCATGTCTATGGATTTAAAACTATTGCATTCTTAAATAATTTATCAAAAGCAGGATTAGTATTTAAGTCTGATGCTAAACAACTTTTCTTTAAATTATAAGAACAATTTAAATTACTTAATGTAGATATTAGATCTGATGATATTGATCCTAAAGATCCTGCTTATACTTACAGTGGTCATTGTCCACTTTTGTATTTTTAACCTATATATTTAGGGCTCGTTTAACAGAAAAGGTTTTTGATAAAGGATCATGGAAACCTTTTAAAACTTAAATGCAATTGATTAATGGTTTTTAATATGAACCTGAAAGACCTATTAAATTAAATATTCCTGGCAAAAAACCTATTGTAATTATTTATGTTCTAGGTGGTATTACATATGGAGAGATTGCATCTTTGCGTCTTCTTGGAAAACAGTTTAATAAAGAAGTAATCATTTGTACAACTAATATGACTAATGGTACAAAGCTTATTTCATCATTAAGAGAGAGGATTTGACAATTATATAAATACATAGACAAGCTGTTGTTTTATTCAATTATTATATTTATTAATGTAAACTAAATAATTTTTTTATGATTCTTCTTAAACTAATGATAAGAATTAATGGGTTAAACTTGATGCAATTAAACGTCCCATTTCAACTATTAGATTATTTGAAGGAACTCTATTTATTAAAAGTAAAAAACAAGAAGCTTTTAAACCTAAATTTTTTAAGTTGTTTTCTGATAGATTGAATATTTATAAAGTATAATATTCTTGACTTTTATTCTTAGAATGGAAGAGAATAAAAAGAAATTGCTGCCCTTTTCTTAACTAATGTTTATCTAGACTTAAGATCTATAATTTAATCTGAGAAAGATAAATTTTTTATAATCTTACTAAATGGAAATAGAAAAGTGGTTTTAAATGCTCGTTCTTAAGAAAGTAGAATTAAATGGATTGAACAATTCAAAAAAACATGCATACTGAATAATTATAAAGATGTTTTTACAAACATTAAAGTATTAGGTAAAGGTACATTTGCAAAGGTAACAAAATTCATAAATAAGGTTCTATTAGCTCAAAAAATAGAAAATAAATCTAAATTTGCCGTGAAGACTTTTTAAAAGTCAGCTTTGATGGATAAAAATAATACTTAAAGGGTATTTTTAAATTAAAATAAACTTCTAGTAAGGATTATTAAATGAAATCAATTTGTTAAGATCATGTGATCATCCAAATATTATTAAACTTTATGAAATTTATGAAAGTGGAGATTATATTTATTTAGTTATGGAATTTTTAGAAGGTGGAGAATTATTTGATTTAATATTAGAGACTCCTTTTTTTATAGAATCTAAAATTGCATTAATTATGTTCAAATTATTTGATGCCTTAGAATATCTTCATACAAAAGTAATATTTATTTCTATTTAATTACAAGAATATTATGCATAGAGATATTAAACCAGAAAATATATTATTAAAAGACAAATCAGAAAATTTTGATTTAAAAATTGCCGATTTTGGATTATCATCTTATACTGAAAGTGAAATGACAATTAAAAGATGTGGAACTCCTGGATATGTTGCTCCAGAAATTTTAGATGATTAAAAATATAATGAAAAAGTAGATGTATTCAGTGCTGGAATTATTTTCTATATATTGTAAAATGTTGATAAATTATAGACTAACTGGATAAGCCCCATTTTATGGAAATAGTTTGGATGATGTAATTGAAAAAAATAGAGCTTGCCAAATCAATTTTAAAGACTTAAAAATATCTTAAGATGCCTTAGATTTATTACATAAGACCTTAGAACCAAATCCTAAAAATAGAATCTCATCCTTAGAAGCTTTATCACATCCTTTTATTTCTAGATTATATAAAAGATAAATTAAGAGTATGGATGATATTCCATTAGATGATTTACCAAATGATAATTATAGTGCTTTTGAAAATATGAAAAAGTTCTGTTAAAATGATATGAGATTTAAAATGTCTAAACTAAAAAAAAATGAATTGATTTAACAAACTCCTTTTATGGGTGTAAGAGAATATGATCCAATAAAAGCTACATAAGATAGTTGGCTTTATGAAAAATCAGGTGAATTAAAATAAATGTTTCGATCTCCCTTAATTTAATAATAATCTTCTGATTCTGATTCTTAATCTGATGTTTCAATTTTAAATACTCCTGAATCAAAAAAAGATACTTAAAGATATATTTAAATTAATGCATTGTAACAAATAGCTTGTAAATAATCACCAAATCAATCTATATATTCACCTAATAATTAATAAAAAGAATAAATTTAAATGAATTTCAAGAAAGCTAGTTAAGTGAGAGATCAATTAAAAAAATTAGGATCTTGATTAATTTTAATAAATGTTTTTCAGTAATGATTTTGCTCATTAATTTTTTTATAAATAATATTTGTTTTTTAATGTCATAATTAACTTATAACATAAAACAATTTAAATCAAATTGATTTAATCCATTTATGCTCCTCATCACCAGTCTAAAATTAATAATTCAATTTACCTAAATTTTTGTTATAATATCAAATAGTTGAAGTGAAAGTTCTCCTGCATTTAATTTTGAATCATACTAAATTTCATAGATTTTATCTTCAAATCCAATTGCTTCTATAGGTTAAATACTAACAGCTGTGCCTGATCCAAACATTTCGATCATCTTAAATATATTTAATTTTAATACTCTTCCATCTTCAATTGCTTCAATTACCTCTTAAATATAGAGTTTCTTCTCAGTAACCTTAAATTTTCCCATACTTCTTGTAAGTTCCTATCTATTATTTCATATTATACCAAAATAGAATCTCTCAAAATTCCAGGTAGAATTGTGCCATCTAATATGGGTGTAACTAATTCTCTTTCTCCTTGTTTATTTTTCCAAAAGAAGAATAAATTACAAACTCCCATTTCTTGTACTAATCCATTTGGTAACATCCATAAATTTTAATGAAATCCAATTTTTTAAACTTCTTTTAATGGTAAAACAGTAGGAGCATAATTACCAGCAACTTTATATCCACCTACTCCTCCTGGTGCTGATCGAATCTATTGTTTAAGAATATTATTTTACTGTTGATGTATTACAAAATACTCTAACGGGTTTTAAACCAGATGGAAAATAAGGACCTACAGGACATAATGCAACAAATAATTTAGCTCTACTTGATGCTCTAACTCCTAAAGCCTCTTCTGTTGCCATCAATGTTGGTCTAATATAACAACTAAATCCTGGTCTATCAGGAATCCAATCTCTATCCACTTTTAATAATTATTCAATGCATCTTTCTAATTCTGCACCATCAAAATCTGGTAATGATAATCTCTTTGCAGATTACTTCATTCTAAACATATTACAATTCAATCTAAATGTTCTTATCGAATTATTAGGACCTCTATAAGCCTATATTTTATATATAATATAAAAATCAATTACTTTTGCACCTTCAAAACATTCTATTGCATAATGTAAACATGCTGAAAATGGATGAATACTGAAACTTTTAAATGGAACAATTTAAGGTCGACTCCATCTATTTCAAAAATTTATACAATTTTCTACCCCATCTTTTCAGACCAATCAATCTCTAACAAATGATCTGTATGAAAAGCCCCAAATGTCATTATTTTAGGATCACAAGGTGGTTTTGTAATATAATGCATAGTATGAGTAGTTGTAAGATCTCTAGCCTACAAATTCATTTCTATATATATTTACTTAAAAAGATGGATAAGGACAACTTAGATCCAAGTTAGAATAATATGAAAAAGAAAAGGCTGAAGATCTCCAAAGACTTCTTAACATCATTTCTATTTTATTTTTTATTTCAAAATTTAATTTCATCATTATTTAATACGTAATATACTTATAATATGACTCAAAAATAAATTTAATTAATTTCATATCATTCATAATCCTTAATTTGTTGTATTATTTTCTTTTCTTGCTTTAAATTGTTGTATCAATTCTGCCAAAGGGGCTAGTTCCTTTCCCTCTACTAATTTAAATTCATCTTTAAACTTAATCCTATATTATACCTATAAAATATATGAAATGCTTAAAACAAGTATTCAAATGATACTCTAGTTCTAAAGCCATTATATGTTAAAAATGAGAATGATATATATGAGCATAAACTCTAAATAATCGTTTAAAAATAACCTTTACAACAGATAAAAATGTTTTAGGAAATGGAATCCCTATATATCTAATTTAACAATTACCTATTTAACATGGGAACAAAGAATCATTATTTAATTGATTTTCTACCCATGTCATTAAATAATCAATATACTCAGAAGCAGATACTTTTAATGGTGTTTTGATATTTTATCCATCAGCCCATAAATATTCATATCTAATTTAATCATTATTAATTATTACTTTGGTCCTGCACACATATTTGGACATAACTCAGGAATACAAAATTCTACTAATGTCCCATATAATATAGAAATTTCATTATAAAATTCAATTGTGTTAACAGCTAACCATTCATTCAAATCTTCTCCATTAGGTAATTCTACAGCTAATAACATATTTCCAGATCCAAGTGTCATCTAAGCTATTTATTTTAAACCATATCCTCTTTGATTTTTATCAATTTATTTTAAAGGTTTAAAAGTTTTTGGATCGTTTGGATTGGCTTGCATAAATTTCAAATTTAAAACTTATTACTTTTAATATAATAATTATTTTTAAAATAGTTTTGAAAACTTTTAAAGATTCTAATAAACTGCACGCATTATGTATGTATAGAATAAATTTAAATTTAATAAAATATCAATAATAAAGATAAAAGTATATGTGTCATTAACTAATAACTTATTCAATAATCTTTGATTAAATTTTATATAAAATACTTAGGAGAGAATAGCACCTATATTCCACCTATTACAATAATATTTATTTGTTCTTTGATCAGAAATTTCTGATTCAGTATAGTAGACAGAATAGATGTTTTTTACATTTTAAGCTCTCTACTTAACATAATCAATCATATCTTATTCTTTTTATGGATCAAAATCTTATTCGTCAACATCAAAGACTAAAATGTAAATGGAAGTTTAGAGAAAGTAAACTATAAAAATAATTATAATGATTGTATACCATTGATAATTGGAGCATAATTTGATATAGAAGTATCATGCATTAAAAACTTCACCATATGAACTGCATCTCTTTCTTGAATTCTTTTAATTGCTAAATCTAAACATAATTTACTAAAATGAGAATATTTATTACTTTTTTAATGGTGATATTAATTCTTCATTAAAATCTTCATTGCTATTTTTACGGCTCTACATACAAAACATAGTAAGAGATTGTTTCAAACATTCATTAATATCTCCTAATATCATAATGTGATGAGTAATAACTTCATCGCTTGATTTCAAATGAATATCTGGTGGAAGTTCAGATGTATCAATATAATCATTTGAAACTTAGCAATGAGCATGTTCAAATCCTTCTATTTATTTTGTTGGATAATCTTTATCATCTACTTATTTTAATCCATTAATCCATTTTAATTTTTTATCATCATAAAAGAGATTAGTCTAATTTTATCCAATTGTAGCAAGCTATAAATTTTTATCATAATTTACTTATATATACTCTTCAAGATTATCAGAATCAAAAGCACACCGTCTACGTCTTGACATAAAAAATTAATAAATATAAAATCAATAATAACAACTTAATTCATCAATTCGTAAGAAGAATTAATTTCCTTTTAACTGGTTTTAAGAATTACTTTAAAAAGAGAAGATAATTTAAACCAAATAAAATTAATAATACTCTTCTTTTCATTAAAATTTTTTGGATGCCTCATATCAAATATTTTTAATATTAGATTTAATTAAAATTCTGTTTTTCTTTAAATTAGAAAAAGGTTTTTGAAATAAAAAAAGTTATTTTACATAAATTAATCAACCAAGATTAATACTCACTAATTTCTTAATAATGCGAAATTGTTTTCACAATTTTAATGATATTTTTTATTTGTTCAATTTATAAAAAAGAGAAAAATTGAAGTTTATTTGAAAGTTAATTTTTTAATTCAATCTAAAAAATTAAAAAGTTTAATAAAAATGTATAATAAAAATACCATTTTCGATGAACTAAATTTATGAATTATAGTATTTATTTATTAAGATTATTTTTGAGACCTTATTTAATTATTTTAGGCAAAATTTGGATATCTCAAGCCATAATATTTATCAATAAAAAATTGTAAAAATTGTTTTTTATGTCACTTTTATTTAGATTTATATTTTTCATAAAATTTATGAGCTTTTTAAATATTGGCTTCCTCTATAAGACCATAATCTAAACAATATTTAAGAGCCAATATAGATTCTGGTTTTTCTCTATAAAGTGATTCATAATAAATTCTGCATGGATCATCTTCAGGTGGAGTCTCTTTTTTTTAATATTATTTGAAATTGTCCTTGTCTTTTTCAACACTTTCAGAATTTTCATCATCATCCTAAATAATATTAATTTATATGTACATCATCTTTTATTTATTTTTTTTTTGTATTATTTGTTGTTTTATTCTATTTTTAAGGTTAAACTTTCTTTTTTTTATCCTGTTTTTCAACCTATTCTTCACTAGATTAAGAATAGTCTTCAGATTCTTCATCTTTTTATTTTTTTGCTGATGCATTTTATTTTTTTTAAGTTTATTTTTAAATTTTCTTTTAAACTTTTGGTTCATAAGCTTCTTCTGATTCATCATCATCAGAGTCATACTTTTTTTTTCCTTTTCCTTTTTTTGGAGGCATCTAATATTTTATATTAATTAATAAAATTTTTAAGTTCAATATTAAATTTTGATATTTAAACTGAATTATCAAATTCAAGTCTTGATTATTTTGAATATTATATCCATATGAGTTAATTAGAGTTAGATAATAAATTAAATAAATATTTTCTTTAATATAAAAAACTAATTAAAAATTTGATAATTTGAACCAAACTCTTAGTAAAAATATCAGAAGGATTTTTAAACTTTAATTTTACCATATTATTTAAAGGAAACTTTTAATAATAATAATGAATTAAGAAATCAGGAAAGAATTAGAAAAATAAAAGGAGAATATAATTAATAAAGAAGAAGAAAAAGAAAATCCAAACAATAAAGAAGTAGAAAAGGAGAATAAAATTAATAAAGAAGTAGAAAAAGAAAATTAAAATAATACAGATTACAAAGTCTATTAAAATGTGATAATATTTAAAAATCTTTAAATAAATATTGAAGATACCTTGAAAAACTATGAAGAATAATAGATTGGTCCAGATATTTATAAATATGATGTAATATAATTGCCAAATAATGAAAAAATTTAAGATGAATCAAAATTAAGAATATTTTGTGAAGAAAGAGACAGTAATGGTCTTTTGTTAAATAAAGACAAATAAGTTTAATTAAAAAAATTCTCTATGAAATCACCTAAACCTGAATTTAATCTTATTAAAAAATTACTTTTATCAATGCACGTTGGAGAAGAATCATGGTTCAAAATAACTAATTTTAAAAATTAAAATGAAAATGAAATTTAAGAATAAAATATTAAATATTATAAAATAAAGATAGTAGAATAATAGATTGTTGAAAAACCATTAGATTTAAAAGCATTAGAAAAGTATAAAAAATTTTATAAGTAGTCGTTTTCTTTAATTTGAAAAATTTAGAAAATATGGGAATGAATTATTTAAGAACAGTTAATTTGAAAATGCTATAAAAAAGTATAAAAAAGGAATAAATTTTATGGAGGCATGGCCAAAAATATATGAATAAGATCCTGAGGTTAATTAAAAGAAAAAATATTATTACTAATTATTTTGTAGCAATATGGCTTAATCGTATATCTTTTTAAAGGAATATGAAAAAGCCATAATGATTTTAGAAGATATTATACCTTAATGTAGAGGAAATGTAAGAAAATACTAAATATTAATAGGAATTTGAGATTAAAAGTTATTATAGAATAATTGTATGCTATATAAAGACCAGGGATTTTGATAAAGCAGAAAGATATTTAAGAGAAGTAAAACATGTTTGTTAATTGGATAATGATTAATTATAACTTTTTGATTGGCTTGACAAAGAATGTAGACCATTGAAGAAAGTGAAAATTTGAGAGTTTTAATTAAATCATATATACTGTATAAATAATTAATCATAAATGAAATAATCTAATCAAAAAATTAAACAAGCTGAACTTTTAGCAAAATAATAAAAGTAAAATGAAGCTTTGTTAGCTCCAGCACTTAATTATTTTATGAATGAATCTTAGTAGACTACAGAATTAATACAATCTTTGATGCATATATAATTTCTGAAAAATAATTGTCCTGAAGGAATGTAATTACATGATTTTGTGATGCAGGCTGCAAAATATGTTAAATTAGAAACTTTTTCTTTTGCATAAATTATATTTAATTATGGAGAGTTTGGGGATAAAATGTATATAATTTTAAAAGGAGAAGTTGGAGTTTATGTTCCAAAATCAAAAGATGATATTGAAAATGAATTGAGTTTATAAAATATAAGAAAGAGTAAGAAATTATAAATTTAAGATGATGTTTTGTTAGAAAATAGAAATAATTCAAATTACTATCAAAACGGAATTTATCTGTATCATAAAGTATAAAAATAAAATATTAAATAAACAGGTATTCCAATATTTTTCTGGATAATGTTTTGGAGATGTTGCATTAACATCTGATAAGCCAAGATCGGCTAGTTTAATAGTACTTTCTGAGATAATGTACTGTATTTCTATAAATCGGTAATAATACAAATAAATGTGTGAAAAAGCTATTTAAGAATAAAATAAAACTATGGAAATATATCAAAGAATTTTTAATGGCATATCTCAATTCAATATATCAAAATTTATTTAGAATTTAAGACCAATATCTTTAGTTTCATAATCTATTCTTTGGGAGAAAGGACATGAACCATAATAGTTATTAATAATAATGAAAGGCAGAGTTGAATTATATATAAATTTGGATGAATCTAAATATATGTAAAATAAAACAGTGTCAGGAGCCTTTACGATTAAATTAAAAAGAGTTGTGGTATTGTTAATATACTCAATATCATTAGTTGAGTCAAGTAACTAATGGACATTTTGTTGGATAGGAAGAGTTAATTGAAGATATTCCATAACGAAAGTATAATTGCCAATGCATTGATAATACAGAAGCATATTTTATGGATGCTGAAACTTTTAAAAAAATTAGAAAGAATTTTCCAGATATTATTAATCTTTTAAAAAATATTACAACCTAAAATAAAACCTATATAAATCATAGATTAACAAATGTTTTAAAGAGTATTTAAGCCTATTAAGATAAAATAAATAAAGAACCTTTAAATAATTCAGATAAAAAAACATTTTATGAATGTTTGGATCTTTAATAAATGAGTACTGAGTAAAGTAAAGTACTTAGATCTAGAAATAAAAAATTATTTACACTATCACAAAGCATTAAAAAGAAAGTAGATATTTTCTAATAAAAATATAAAGATAAATCTCCCTAAGATTTAATAATATTAAATCCTGAATTGTAATAGACTATTTAAGAACGATAGGATAGATTATATTATATTAATAACAAAAAGTTACAATACAATAGACCTCATCATTAGGATGGCTTTAGTTTATCTAATGAAATTAAAAATTTTAAATTAAACTTTTCTAAGTCTTCTTAAAGATTTTAACAATCTGAATAAAATTAATAGGACAGCAATTTTATTTAGTATAGTTCACAATGCATTTCCGAAGCAGCTCTTTCACCTGTTAGCAAGAAATCATTATAAATTCAATTAACATAATTTAGTGATTCTTTGAAAAAAAAATAATATTTTTTAATGAAAATGCAATAAACTACTATGAGATAAACTACTAAAAGCTATCTTTCTATTCGCAATATGAAAAGTCTTCATTCTCAAATTAATACTGGTAAAATGATTAAAACAGAAGTTAGTTTCATGAATGAACAAAGCTTGTAATATTATATGTTATTGTATATAGAAATAAGTATGAGAGATCTTTATAATCCCTTCCTAAATTATTATTATAAGAAAATGAAGAAAATTGATTTTACTTAATGATTAATAAACAGTGTTTATATAATTTCAATTGTTGTAATTAAGATCAATAAAAAATCAAATAGCAAATAAAACCTACACTTATACAAGTTACTCCAGCTATAAACAATCTTCTTTTTAATCTATCTAATCTATTTTTTCTATGAACAGCAGTAGCTGTATCATAAAAGACTTTAGATGTATCCTCCAATTCCAAAGATTTAACTCATATAAGATATACTTTCAATTTGGCTTAATTATTCTTTATTATTTATAAGCTTTTCGATATTCTATTAGACTGATTATTTGGTGTTATCTAATATCTACATAATTTATTTGATTTATTTTGGATCTTTATTATACTGTTTTTCGAAATAATTCAATAACTTTAAGATATTGTCTTTTTAATCATCATTAAGAATAAAACTTTCATTCAACTAAAAAGAAAAGATTGATAAATACAATTTTTGATTAAATGGCACTAATAAGCATTTCAATATTATTTTAGTTGCAATCAGATGTTGCTAAAACAAGCTAGATTATTTCTTTATTAAAAGGCATATAATACCATCTTCCTTTTTTTGATGGCAATGAGTCTCTTTGAATAATAAAATGAATTTACAATTTCTAAAATTAACTAATAGTTTTCGTCTTAAGAACCATAAGAGTATCAGATAAATCTTAAACTAGATCAATTTCTCCTTCCATTTCTATAAGCTCTAATTTTTCTCCATTTGTCCATTCTGCTAAAGCAAAAGCTTTAATATGATTCATATTTATTAATGTTAAAATTTTAAGTAAATATAAAAGGTTAGGTTTTTGATTTTGAGATATCTAAAAGTGCAACAATAGCAGAACTGAAAGCTCTAATTGGATAGAAATAATAAGTAATTTTTCAATTCAAGTAGATTTCAGCTCCCTTTGATCTCTATATATTTAATCAACTTTTAATAGAAGATGGAACTGTTAATAAGATTATATATAATTGTAAAACAGATTATCTAGATTTAAAATTTAAAGAGAAGGTAGAATTAAAAAAGTTCCAACAGTTTTATAATTAAGCTAAACCTCTTGTTTTGTGGAAGACAATTATGTCAACTATAAAGTTTATAGATAATTTTGAAGAACAAACAAAGTTAAAGACATAAGACTTAAGTAAAGTGAAAAATGTTCTTTCTTTCTTTTAAAAAGCACCTAAATTGATTAAATAGAAGACTTCAAATTTAATTACTATTTTTTCAGATCGAGTTAAAGGATAAACAATGTTGAGTCAAATTAGAATGTAAGAAGATGATTAAGCTCGAAATTTAAATAATGATACTGTTTTAAATATTCTAAATAATATGGAAAATAAAGATGAGAGAGTAAATCATCATAAAGCTTTAATCAAATCTAATAAAAAGAAATATAAAACTCCTAAATTAAGTCCATAATAAGAATAATATTTGATAAGAAAAAAGAAAGCAATTTCTTTAATACAAGATCCTGATTAAAATGAAAAAGCTAAGATACTTATATAAGAGATGAAAAAATAAAAAGAACAAATGAAAATAAAGAAATAAGAATAATTAGATAATAGTGCAGAAAAAATTGAATAGAGTTTAGAACATTATAAATAAGAAAGAGAAATTTTAATGCAATAAATTACTTAAGATAAGAGAAATAGAATTATTGAAAGACTGAATGAAAATTAAAAGAATCATGAATTACAAAAATAATTTAATAAATAATCTTAATAACTTATAAATGAGTTAAAAAATAGAATGAAAAAACAATAGGATTCTCTCAAAAATAAGGATGAACAATTAAAATCAATTTATTATGAAGAAGCAAAAGTAATTAAGATTCTATTAAAACTAGTTAAAACTTTAAGAAAAAAAGAAATAAGCTTAACCAATAAGATTATAAGAATTAAATTAGCATGAAGAAAATTATTTAGAGAATAGGGAAATGCTTAAATTGTAAAGAGATTAAAAAAAATTGGAATGGGAAATAAAAATTAAATCAGAAACTAAATCATTATATAAAGATCAAAAAGTTTTACAAGAAGTTATGAAAATTGATTAATAAGTGAAGAATAAAGATATATTAGAGTAAAAAAAGAAATAGGAATTTAAAGTTAGAAAATAAAAATATTCTGAAATAATTTAAGAATTTCATAGACCAAGTAATTTTAATAAAATGGATGTTTAAGAATCAATTGATGATTATTCAATTAATTAATCTAGAGATTCTAGAATAAAATAAGTAGTAAGATATTAAAATAAATCATAATTTGTTGAATAATTTGTAAATTAAGGAATCTAAAAAAATAGTAATTTTTAATTAAATCTTTTAGTTAAGAAAATTTAATCAGCATTAAGTTAATAACATATAACATAAAAAACTAAAATTACAGAAAGCCTTCAATAAGGTAAAATGCCTGATGCAAATACATATTTTCATTTAAGGGTACATACTCCATTGAAATCAATAATTCAAGAGAGTTCAGGAATAAAGAAACAGCCAGATTATTTGAGGGAATTTGAAAGAGAAAGAAAATCTTTGCATTAAAGTGCTTTACCATCTCTTTCAGGATTAAACAAGTAATTTTGATCACTATGATAAAAGGAAATTAAATCCTTAATAAGAAATACATCTACTCTAAAGATTAGAGCAAGAAGCAAAAAAGAAGGAATAATTAGCTCAAATCAGTTAAAATGATGATCTTTAAGTAGAAGCAACAGATTTATATTTGAAAAGTGTTTAAGCAAAATTGTAATTTTTGGATAAGAAATTATCAAATTTTTGAGTATTAAATATTTATAATTAAACAAAATGGGTTGTTCAGTCTAAAAATAAACAGAAAATAAGCATAAGCAAAGAAATCTCGAAATAAATCTTTAAAGGCAAATAGAAGAATCAATATAAAAATAATAGTAGTGTAATTTCTTAATTATTTAAAAGAATGATAAGAAACTTTAGGAGGAGATCAAGAAGAACTATCAATTTATGATAAATCATTAGAGAAATAAGTAAAAGTTCCAAAATTAAGGCAACCAAGTAAGTATTATTATATAATATTAAAGTTTACAATACTATAGTTTAAAGAAGAAGAATATAAAAATATGATGACATAGTAAAGTGAAATTACAATTCTAATGATTTATTATTTGTATTATCATCTTTTATTATAAGCACTATCCTAATAAATATTAATTCAGTGTTTATTAATAAAATTCTAAAGATTAATTGATAATAATTTGATGTTCTAAGCTTAAAAAGTTTATTTAAATTATGACTCTAAACTAGTTCATATTGATTAAAAAGAGTAATACTGAAGTTTTTTGAGTATGAATTAATATAAATTAATTTATATATTTAAATAAGTTATAGACATGATAAATTTTTCAGGTTTCATATAAAAGATAATCGTTTCTATTTTTTTTCTTCTAGTTGCTACAACATAATATGATCACAAAAACAACATTAAAACCAAATAATAAACCTAATCCCAAGAAAACATAACCGGTAATTTTTCCTGTTGACTCAATGAAATCTTTAGTTTCTTTGAAACAACTATTTTCATTTTATGAATTGTCATTGACATTACTAAAAACATAATAAGAGGTAGATTTGCACCATCCAGTACAATGTAATAAAGTTTCTGCGGCTTAAATCATTTTAGCAGCTGCAGCATATTCATTAACTTCAAATGAGGGACACTTTTAGACTTATACTATTTTTGGTGTTATATTTTCATCGGTGGTAAAATTCTTGCCTTCAAATTATTTTTATTTATCTTAGAAGGTCTCATTAGTAATATAACATTAACATAAGTCAGAACAAAAGAGTTAATCTGCTAATTATATTTAAATATCAATCTCTTTGAAGTAATCATTGCCTGTACACTCTAAATTCTATTAAATATTCAACTACCTTATCCTAAGATATCATCTGAATAAATCAGAGTGAATACAGCTAGACTTGAACATAATAAAAAAAATGTTATAGCCCCAATTTCATATATAGCTAAGCAAGTCTTCTAACATGTTGGTTTTTATTTTTTGGCTCCATGAATACCAGCTGAACCAATTAACAAGATCAATACTCCTAAAATTATAAAACCATATTCTTATAATGTTTTTAACCAATCTGCAGAATTGTAATAAAGATCTATATTTTTAAAATTATGATTTATACCTTAATAATCTAATCCAACTTAATTATATAGCACATACAATCCAAAACATAAAATTACTAAACCAATTCCTCCTATTATGCTGGCACTAAATTTAATTATCGATTTCAAACACTTTATCATAATAAATAATTTAATATATAAGAAAAAACATTATTTTTCAATTTACATCATCAAGTTGAACAATAAACAATAGAGACAATCCACAAAATTTAATAAATGCTTATATATACTATTAAATTATATATGTATATATTTTAGATCAAGACAATAACGTCTTAATTAATTCTGAATTACGTGTAAATTATTAAAAATTAAATTGAAAAATACATCAATGCAACAGCCACCAATACAGCAAAATCTATAGCAACTTGATTTTTATTAAGAAGAATATAAAGATGCAATTAGATTCTCTTGGAATACATTACCAGCAACTAAATTATAGAGTACTCGTGCAATAGTTCCTATGGGATGTTTATATAGTATAGAATTCATTAAAATTAGCACCAATGAAGGATTTGGAATCTCTTGTTTTAGTTTAATATTCCCCACTATATTGTAAGTGTGGTGCAATTTTGAATCCATATAATCAAATAGATTTCAGAAATAAATAATGGCTATGTGTGTTTTGTTCTTGTAAAAACATGTTTCCAAAGCATTATGCAGATCATATTACTGAAACTTAGTTACCTGCTGAATTAAAAAAGACTAGCACAACTATGGAATATATCTTAGCTAATTAATAAGCAGCACCAACTACATTCTTATATATTATTGATACATGCATACCTTAAGAAGATTTATAAGCCATAAGAGACTCAATTTAATAGAGTTTGTCAATTATTCCACCAGATTCATAAGTAGGACTTATTACATTTGGAAGAAATATATTTGTACATGAACTAGGATTTTAAGAATGTCCAAAATGCTATAGTTTTAAGGGATCTAAGGATTATACAACTTAATAAATTTTAGAAATGTTATAAGTAAGTACAAAACCAGAAATCTTAAAAAGATTTTTAGTTCCATTAAGTGAATGTGAATTCTCATTCAATTCTATTTTGGATGATCTTTAATGTGATCCATGGCCAATTCAACCAGGAGAAAGAGAAGTTAGAGCAAATGGATCTGCATTAAAAATAGGTTCAACATTGGTTGAAAGTGCTACTTAATTTTCTAAAATTCTTTTTTTTGTTGGAGGACCTTGTACTATTGGTCCTGGATAAGTTGTAGGACTAAAATTAGAAGAAACAATCAGATCTTATTTAGATATGTAAAAGGAAAATCCTAATACATAATATTTATAAAAAGCAAAAAAATTTTATAATGAAATTGCCTAAAGAGCAATTAAAGCAAATTTAACAGTTGATATATTTGCATTCACCTTAGATTAATTTGGTTTATTGGAAATGAAATAATTAGCAGAAAAAACTGGTGGAGTTGTTGTTATGCAAGAAAAATTTGATTCTGATGTTTTTAAAGAAACTTATAAAAAATTATTTGATAAAGATAGTACAGGTTTTCTTAAAATGGGATTTGGATCTAAAATGGATATTTTTGTATCAAAAGACATCAAAGTATAAGGTGGAGTAGGACCATGTATTTCTTTAAAAAAAGGAGGACCTATGGTATCTGAAGTATCTTTAGGAGAAGGTGGAACAACAAGTTGGTATACAGGTGGTTTAGATAGAAATTCCACAATTTTATTCTTGTTTGATTTATCTTCTACAAAAGATACTTCTTTTTCATAAAGTGCTTACATATAATTCGTAACAATGTATAGACACTCAAGCAGATTATAAAGATTAAGAGTTACAACAGTTTAAAGAAGATTTGCTGATCACAATAATATTATGGACATGATAAGAGGATTTGATCAAGAAGCTGCTTGTGTTACGATGGCAAGAGTTGGAATTCTAAAAGCAGAATAAGAAGAATCAATTGAAGTCTTAAAGTGGTTAGATCGATCTTTGATTAGAGCTGTAGCAAGATTTGGTTCTTATAGAAAAGATGATGTAAGTTCATTTAGATTCCCATAAGAAATGATGATGTATCCATAATTTATGTATCATCTTCGAAGATCTCATTTCATTACTACATTTGGTGCATCACCAGACGAAACCACTTTCTATAGAGTAATATTGAATACTAAATAAATTAGGCATCTTTATCTAGAGAAAGTGTTCAAAATGCTTTAGTAATGATTTAACCAGCATTATTATAATATACAATAGATGATCCAGTTGCTAATGCTGTAAATTTAGATATTCAAAGTATGAAGCCTGATGTTGTATTGCTTCTTGACACTTATTTTAATGTTGTTGTTTGGAATGGAGAAAATGTGTAAAAATGGATAGAAGAAGGATATTATGATAATCCTGAATATGAATATGTAAAAGAATTAGTGGATGCTCCTAATTCTGATGTTCAAGTAATATATCATTTTTATTTTTAAGTATATCTTAGAGGATAGATTCCCTGTTCCTAAATTGATTAAAACCTATTTTGGTCATGGTTAAGAGAGATATTTAAAAAGCAGAGTGAATCCATCTGTAAATAATGTATAAAATGAAAATGTTGAAAGTGGTAATTACATTACTGATGATGCCAGTCTTAAAGTATTTACAGATCATCTTATTCGCTTAGCTGTATAAACTGTATAATGAATATATCAAATATAAAGTAATAGTGTAATATTTAAATTACTCAATCAATATATTATAAAAATTATTATTAATCATAATCAATGAAAAATCGTTATGAGGATTTATATGAAACGAAAAACTCATTATTAGGATAGGGGGCTTTTGCTTAAGTCTTTTTAGGTGTTAAAAAGTCTAATAATTAAAAAGTTGCTGTGAAAATTAGTAATCGAAATCTAGCTATTTCTTAATAAGAGAAAATGATTCTTGAATAACTCTCATAAAATAGACATTAAAATGTAGTACAACTTTTGGATATATTTGATTAAACAGAAGCATTATTTATAGTTCAAGAATATTGCTAAGGAGGTACCTTATATGAAATGATGATAACTAAAACTTTTTCTGAAGAATAAATTGTTAACATTGCTTTATAAGTTGCTTAGGGCATCGCTTTTTTACATAGTAAAAACATAGTTCATAGAGACATAAAACCAGAAAATATTCTTAGGTAATTTGATGAATAAGGTATGGAAGTCTACAAAATTACTGATTTTGGATTAAGCAGTTTAAAATTAGATAGAATGACTACTACTAAAGTTGGAACTGCCTATTATGTTGCTCCAGAAATTCTAGATAAATAATAATATGACAAATCTGTTGATATTTGGGCCTTTGGCTTAATTGTAGATGAATTACTTCATAAAACCCCTTTTTATAATGGTAAATCTGAAGAAGAAGTATTTTTTAAAATTAAAACTACCAATTACATTATTAGAGATTAATAATATGCATAAGCTACTATTTTCGATCATAAAAAAAATGTTATTAAAACTTTACTATTAAATTCAGTCTAAAAAGACCCTAAATTAAGAAAGGATCTCAAATGGATTATTTAAACTCTTACTGAATACTATCTCCAAAGTCCAAATAGTTTTGATATAAAATAAAATAATAACAATTATAGATATCTTTTTACAGAAAACTCACTTATTTCGCAATCATCTCTATGTGAATAAACACAAAACTTTTAACTACCTACCTATTCTAATGACTCTTAATCTTAAATTGAAGACTGTCCTTTACATCATCAACCTATTCGATTCAGAATGCCAGGGATTAATGATAATGCAGTCACTAATGCATGTAAAAAATGTTTATAAATGTATGGTGTTTTTGAACAATAAGAATTTCAATCCTATTTATCTTAAACCAACTTTGAATTAAGTTCCTTTACAGTAGATTAATATTTTTCTTAAAATGAAATCATCATAGAGGCATTAAGCTATCTAAATGAATATAAATTATTTTAAGAAAAAGAAAAACTTGTCTAAGAATTAAGAAGCATTGTTATTAAACATCATAGAATTTTAAGATAAGAATATATTTAATATTAAGATGATGTTAAATCAATGAACATTAATGCTAAATGGATTAATGAAGCATTGAAATTAAACATCACTATTTCTCAAGATTTTTCAAATAAAATCATTTCTTTCATAATCTCAAAGTGTTAAGAAAGAAAAGAAATTTCACTTTAAGAATGTAGATAATTTATTAAAGAATAACTTTAAGTGCTGTAATCATAAATTGAGTCTATGTTAAGAAATTGTATTATTGATATATGAAATTTAAATTATTTTTAAATATTTTGGATCATGAATCTGTTTTCTTTAAAACCTTTATAATCAATTGATTGTAACATTCTTATTATTGAAATTTAATATTAGTAATATTAATATTATTAATAAATTTTATAATGAAATAAAAAAAATAGTAGTTAGGAGAAATCAATATTAATAAACAATATAATGAATAATAACTAAGAGAAGTATATTTTTAAATAAGAGTAGATAATTCAAAAATTACTTGCTAAAGAAGCAAATTATCAAATTGAAATTGCAAAATTAAAAGAATAAAACATCGAAACTATATAAAAATATCATAAAGCTTTAAAGTAAATAGGAGAAATGGAAAAAACATAAAAAAAAGTAAGAAGAAAATAAATTAAATTAGGATTAAATGTATATTTAACAAATAGATAATTTTTTATTGGAGGCAAAAAAGAGATTTGATTAAAATAAAAAATAATAAACTGATCATTATGTTGATGCATTATTAGAAATGACCAAATAAAGAGATGAATATTTGAAAAGAAATATTCAACTTGAAATTATAGTGAATGAATAGAACGAATAAATTGATAAATTAAAACGTTAAACAACCATAATACCATCTGCTAGTTAATAATAATTCAGTAATCCTTTAAGTACAAATGAAGAAGTAATTTAATCTGAAAGCTAAGTAAATCATCATAAAAAATCATCAATTTATTCAATGAATACTCAAGATTCAATAATAAATGATGAAGAGAAGGAAGATCAATTAATGACATTTCTACATTAACTTGATGAATAATAAGCTAATTAGTTGTATAGTCTCTTCAGTAGCTTAAATACTGATCTCGATTCAAAAACAATCAAGAAAGATCCTTTATTTTAAAACATAATCTCAAATATGAATCACCATTCCCTTGTAGAACAATAAAGCTCATTCAGTTTTTCACAAAAATGGAATGACAAAGAAAATCATTATTTTTGATTATTCTACTAATTTAAATAAGTATTTAAAATGATATCTCTAATATAAATTTGTTTCAATTAAGAATTAGATTTATTTAAAATATTCTATGTGAATTAAATTGATTGATAGACAACTTTATCATCCTTATCACATATTTCATTTGCAAAGTCCTTTTAAAATACATCAAATCCATTCCATATAGTTTTTAATTATACAATAACTAATTCATTATAATCATTTACCATTTCTAAGTAGTAATAGTTTCATCTAATTAGGGGTAAATATAATTTCTTAGTTTACAAAACAATTTGTTACTTTTGTTGGAATAACTGCATATACTAGAAATATAAAATATATTGAGTTTCATTTGATAATTAAATAAGGGTAGAATGTGATAGTTGTTTGGATTTATAGAAGAATATAAAATAAGAAATATTTTACATCAATATGTATAATCTAAAATTTATTTTTTAATTGAATATATTCAATAATTAAAATGTAATTTATATTAATATTGGTTCTCGCATTCACTACACTTTCCTAATAGACTGATTATGCTTTGTTGATAAAAAATTAAAATACATAGGCATGGGAAAGAATTGGTGAAATGAAAATACCTAGGTCTAACTTTTAAAATGCACAAATTGTCTTAAATTAAAATAAATAGTATATTATTGATCGCAAAAAAATTAATGAAGTAATAATTGATTGCTGATTTTAGAATAATTATGCATTGTTGAAATTGTAGAATTAATAAGATGAAAAATCATATATTGCACATATTGATGGAAAATAATTATCTCTTTTTAATTAGAAATCCAATTATTAAGAAATAATTACTTTAGTTTTATCTAATAATGATTTATTATCATTTGATTATTCATTAAAGCCAATAAAAAAAAATGCAGAAACCTATATTTAAGTTAACATCAAAGAATTAGAAGTAGCTCCATAAGGATTAGTGCCATAATTTGAAGAAAAGTCTCCTGAGGAAGAAGAATAATAAAAACCTTAAGGTATATTTGGACTAATATTACAATATGTAAATTTGATTTTATCTTAATAAATAGAAATGGTATATCATTATTGGATTTATGGTCTTTTTCTTAGCTGGTTAGGCTGATCCATAAAAATTAAATGAGACTGTATAATAAGCTTAAGAATAAGCATAAGCTTAAAGAAGAAGAAATAAATGAGTAAATTTATTCAAATGTTGTGTAAAATAATTTGTTATCTATTTATAATTATATTTTTATAGATTTCTATATTCATTTATTTAAATGAATTCTACTAAAATATTGAATTTCATTAACAATATCCTAACATAATTTTAGAATTTCAGTGAATACTTAATTTTTTGTAATAGTTTTATTTAAAGTTTTAATTTGAAACTGTTTTAAACAACATTAGTTATTTAAGAAAACTTTCAACAATATTTGATATCACAGAGGAATCGATCAAATTTTGGTATTTAAATTTTCAGTTTTTGAATAGTTATTTAATTAATATTAAATGTTAATTAATTGCTAGGAAAATGATTTATAAATTCTAGTCTTCTCAGTATTTAGAAAACATTTTTTTCGCGATTAATCTTACTATTTAAAATTATCTCATACATAAATAATGATGAGTCAAGTAAGTTATAATAGTATTGATAATATAGGAGTGTTAATTTATGAAAACAAAGTATATTTTAGATTTGAATTCAGAAACTCAATTCGAATGGATAGTTAGAAACCAATAATTAGTTGGATTTCTCTTTCCTTATTAAAATAAAATGAAGGATTTTTATGGAGATTCCAAAAATCTGTCAGAGTTAAAATAAAGACTAGGAAAATAAATTATTTTTAAATCACTTACAGTACATTATAAATTGATTAAATTCATAGATTCAGGGACGTTTGGATAAGTATATTATTGTTCTAATAATAGATTTAATTATAATAAAACTATATAACTGGTCAATTAGTTGCTATTAAAACATTAATTAATACAACTAAATCTGCATAATATTAAATTGAGAATGAAATAAAGATTCTTAGAACACTGAATCACCCTAATATTTTGTAGATATAGGAAGTTTTCTTAACTAATCTTACATATTCAATAGTAACTGAGTTTATTGAAGGAAAGAATCTTAAAAAATCAATTACAGAAATTTAAGAATTCTCAGAATTATCTATTCTATAATTATTCAGAGTAATGTTTTTAAATTATTCTATTAGTAATTATTTGAAGGACTCTCTTATATTCATAATATGGGGATTATCCATAGAGATATTAAGCCTGCAAATATAATGCTAACTAAAAATGGAAAACTTAAAATTGTTGATTTTGGATTATCATGTTTTATAGGTAATTAACTTTAAGAAACACCTAAATGTGGTACTCCAGGCTTTTGTGCTCCTGAAATATTATAAAATATCAACAATCAAATCACTTATGATTATAAAGTTGATGTTTTTAGTGCTGGATGTGTTTTATATAAACTATTAACTTCAAAAGGTTTATTTGATGCTGATACATCAATTGAAGTTTTAAAGAAGAATAAAAACTGTCTATTTATCATTAAGGAATAAGGAAGACTTTTTGATTTAGTCAGAACTTTGCTAAAATTAAATCCTCTCGAAAGATTAAACAGTGATTAGACATTATAATTAATTAAATCCATGATCGAAGATGATACTTTGGATGTAAACATTTGGTACAGACAATAATTTAATTCCAATTAATCAACATTATCTAATATAAGTTTAACTCCTAAATAGAGTGCTCATAGTAAATCTCTTTCAAAAAACTTTTCAACCCCAAATCATTCAAAGAACTTTTTTTCATCTAGTCTAAAAACTTATAGATGATTTTTCTCTTAAATGATAATTTAAATCTAATCAAATTATAAAATTAAATATTCTCAATAATAATATGATATTAACCTATTTTCTATCTTACTTATACTTTATCTTTTAAAACTAAATCAAATTTTAATCTAATTAAGTTAAGCATTCTCACTTTAGAAATAATTGAGTTAGACATATTTATATTAAATCAATCAATAAAAATGTTTAAAATTCTCTAATCTCCATTTCCATCTAAATTATAATTGAAAAAAGAAATATCTTTAAGGATTTGTTACAAAATTCATTTTAATTTCTAATTGGAATAGATTTTATTCTAAAATACTAAGAGATAACTAATTTCAAGTTATTATTTTAGTTTATACGATAATTATATTAATTTTAAGAAATAATATTCATTCTTCCATGCCTTCAGATTACTCCATTAAATACTTCATGAATTATCCTTAATAATGAATTGAAGCCGCAAAACCATAACCACATTAAACTAGATAATATGTAGTAAAGATATTTGTACCTAGACATTCTGTCTCTTTTCCTTTAAATTAATCTACTTTTAATGTTTCACACTTTTTAGAGCAAAATGTTGTGGCTTTTAATATATGATTAATTATTTCTTCTTTATTTTCTTAACTCATTAAAATTAATTGTGTAAAAATGGAATACGAAATAAATCAAAAACTACCTTTAAGCGCTAATTTACAGAAATAATCAGATTCCTAACATCAAACTATAGATTCAATGTAATCAATCACTTAAGAATACCAAAAAATCATGGAAAAATTTTAACAAGAAATTTTTTAAGTTAAGCAAATTAAAAAAGAAAAAAATGAAAAGAGATCTGAAAAGCTAAAAAATATTCCAACTTTTACTAATTTATTATAAAGGACATAACTTGATAGATGAAATAATATTTTTGTATTTCAATTTCAATTTAGCATATTCTTTTAGATTATCTAATTATTTTTCAAAATTCAAAGCAATATATAAATAAAATTTATAAACGTCATAATATATTAAGAGTGAAAATATTAATAATATTTGTGAATAGAGATTGGTTAAAATAATTTAATTTATACGGCAACAAGTAAATCTAAAAAAAATAATATAATTAATATCTTATAACACGCCTTTTAAAATTTCAATAATATATTCATCATAAATATAATCTCTTAAAATAGTTGATCAAAATATATATATTTGCTTTGCAACTTAATATAATTCACTATAAATTAAATTTTAAACTAATAATAATTAATGAGTAAAATTTTAATCTATATCAATTAAATTTATATATGATTTCTAAGAAACCAAATAGAATTTAAAGAAAAAACTTAATATATCATCAATATAAGCCTACATAAAAAAAAAATTTTCTTTGAATTCAAATTCAATAAATAAGTTATCTTAATTTTAATTATAAATCATTAAGCAATATATACCATTTATTTTTCTTTTTTCATAATGTTGTAACAATTTAAAGGTTAATGAAACGGATTTTTTTAGTCGATAAACCTAAAATATCTATAAAAATAAAATTTTAGTTTATTTTAAGAAATTATTGAAATAAATTAATTAAATTTAATAAATTTTAACAAATATTATAATTGCTTGCATCGAAAGATATTTAATTTCTATTAATAAAATTAAGCAGAATAGGGGAAATAATTTGAAATTTTTAGTTATAAAATCAAAGTCAAAGAAAAATTTATTTGATTTAATCTTATTATATACTCTTAATATTTTGATCTAATTGAAAGTAATTTATTACAGTATCGATTAGTTGAAAAAAATTCGAAAATCACTATTTATAAAGCAAAAAAATAATGCAAATAATAATTTCTTTAAGAATGGACTATTTAATTTAAATTAATTTATTTATCATTTTTAATTGAAGAATTCTAAAGGAATATAAATATTTTAGAAATGGAAAACCTGTAAGGTGAGCTTATTTTTGAATAACTTAAATAATTGAAATATTATATTATATTAAATTTTAAATTATCAATTAACAATGTAGAGTTAATCAAAGTCACATCTAGTAATCAAAATTTATTGTATTATTTAATTATGGTATTCAATTGAATAGTTTCAATGATAAATTAAGATAAATCATAACTTTATAAATAACATAAATAAACCGAGAATATACAATAAACGCAAATTAACTTTTAAAGTTGAAATCAGATTGGGATTTCTAATAAATAATAATAAACAATTCATTATTTTCAATGGATTTCTATTCAATAGATTTTGAAGAACAAGATTAACAAAGTACTTAGTTTTCTTAATTCTAGTATTAGTTGAAGAAGTATAAATTGATTCATCTGAATAATAAATGTATTACGATTATGATCAAAGTTTGTAATATAAGCCAGGACAACTAAATACTTTTAATGGATATACATAAGAGGAGCCTGTCCTTTTATTTAATTTTTTTGAAGAAGCTCCAAAAAAAAAATCTAAACAAATTAACAGAAAATCAAAAAAAGTTAAAAAAGCTGATTCAGAAACTGATGTATCATTGGGCAAAAGATAAAAACCTTGTATGACTAACAGAGACTTCTAGAAACTTTAACAATGTTAAAAACTTAAAAAAATCATTATTTAGATGGAATCTCTTCTAAAACTAACTAGAACTTAAATTCTCAATCAATACATCAAAAATCACTCTAATTGAAGATCTTTCTTGATAAATTATATCGAGTTATATATATTGATTATATTAACTAAATACACTTATTTTTTTTCATTTAAACTTATAAATTGAAATATCATTTATTGTTTTTAGTATAGATTGGCAAATGAATTTCAAGCCTCTATAAATTATCCTTATTTTAGAATTAACTATTTTAAATTATTTATTTTTGAGATAAATTTTATTTGAAAATACAATATATATTTGAAATAGAGTATTTTAATATAATGACAGTAAATGTTTTTTTAATATAATATTGTAATTATGTATTAAATATTATAAAATCATGTTCAAAATTACAAAGATTTTAGTACTGGTTTTATGTAAAATGATGGAAGTTATTTTTACAAAAGAATTTTTATAAAATTATATAATCAATAAGTAATTTGTAAATAATAGTGATTTACATAAAATTATTGATTAATTAAGTAGTAAGTCTATAGATATAAATATAATAAAACTGTAACTAAAAATTTGTGAAAAGGATTACTTTTCTTTGAAAACAATTAAAATATAAAAATAATCAAATTATGAGTGAAAAAATTGATTCTAATATTTTAAAGAAATATGAAATAATGACAAAGATAGGGAAAGGTGCTTATGGGATCGTATGGAAAGCAAGAGATTTAAAATCTCAACGTATAGTTGCTTTAAAGAAAGTTTTTGATGCTTTTAGTAATCCAACAGATGCCTAACGAACGTATAGAGAAGTAGAAATAAAAATGTTATTTTAGGTTAGCTTTTTAAAGTAACTAAATCATCCTAATATAATTCAATTAATTGATACCTTCCCTGCAGAAAATCAAAATGACTTATATTTGATTTTCGAATACATGGAAACTGATTTACACATTGCCATTCGAGCTAAAATTTTATAGCCTCTTCACAGAAGATATATAATATATTAGTTATTTAAAGCTCTTAAATATATACATTCTTCTGGGATGATACATAGGTATAAAATTCTATTTTTATAACAATTTAGAGATTTAAAGCCTGCAAATATTTTATTAGATTCTGAATGTAAAATAAAATTAGCCGATTTTGGATTGGCTAGAATGGTTTGTACATTAGAATAGGATATATTAACAGATTATGTTGCAACTAGATGGTTTAGAGCTCCAGAAATATTATTAGGATCAAAATCTTATTCATTTGGAGTAGATATGTGGTCAATTGGTTGTATGATTGGAGAAATGATACTTGGAAAGGCATTGTTCTCAGGAACTTCCACAATAAATTAATTAGAAAAAATAATTGAAGTACTAGGAATACCAACTTCAGAAGAAATTTAAAGTTTAGGAGGTTAAAATTAATTATTTGATAAATATCCTAGAAATTATAAGTCTAATTTAAAAGCTATTCTTAATTGCGATGATGATGAATTAGATCTTATCAAGAAACTTTTAGTCTATGATCCAAACAAGAGAATTTCTGTATAAGATGCATTAAGACATCCTTATCTTAAGGAATTCTATAATCCTAAAGAAGAAATTACTTTTAAAGGATAATTAATCCTAAAATTATAAGATGATAAACAATATCCAGTCTCTTCATATAGAGATTTGTTATATAAATAAAATTTAGATTTGACTAAAATATTAACTTTAGTAAACAAATAAAAATCTCTTATTTAAAATATTTAGAGTAATAGATCTGATGCATTAAAAAAGTAATCAAGTTAATAATAATTCTTAAATTAACAGTTTGCTAAAAGTGCTTTTATGAAGAGGAATTCAACGGTCAACATAGAAAAAAGTGTAAATAAAACTGCCACAGCAACTTTGCATAATAGTAATTCGAAGACATCTTAAAATAGCAATACATCTTCCTCTACTTAAATAAAAAATAAATTGAAATAAATTTGTTTATAATCTGCTGATAAATGTGAAACTGTAGTTTAAAAAAAGTCTCCGAATTCAAAAATATTAAAACAACCTAAATAAATTATCTAATCAAACTCGAAATAATAAATTTTGAATAATGTTACCAATACTTCAATTAGTCCATCATAATCATAATAAAGGCTATAGATTATAAGGCAATAACATTAATAAATATAAAAATGAAAAAATTTTTTATTCTTTATAAATTACTATTATAACAGTCTACAAAAATATTTATATTTCAAGAGTATTATTCTTTCTCCATTCTTTCTATAACTTATTCCTCTAATTAATGAATCATTTTTATTGCATTCCTATACTCTGATTTCACTTAGTTTAGTTCAACAATTTTATCTTACAACTCTTTGTTCAATCTCTCTACTAGTCCAAAATCAGACTAAAATAAATAAATATATTACTTAATATTATGAAGAATTTTGAAGTTTCTATTGCAATTCTTTATTTTTTATTTATTCATATTCAAGTTATTTCTTTAATTGAGTTATTTATGTTGAAAAACTCAATCTTTCAGCATCCATATCTATTCCAGAGGACTTTAATGTTGCTCTCTTTAATAAAGCTAATTCCCTTTTTAAATCTTCAATTTATTATTATCTCACTTTATTATTAGCACTTGCTGAATATTATTATAATTTTGATTCAAATGAAACAATCATTTATTATTTTTCTTATTGTAGATAGGAAATTTCACTTCTTAACTTTTAGTTTTCAATTTATAATTCTTTATACAAATCGTTTATCTTATTTACTTAACTAATTTGTTCTGTAGTTTTCTATTGCTCATTATTTAATCTAACATTGCTTAAATTTAATCTCTCATTTTGAATTTAAAGTTATTTTATCTCTTACATTAGATTTACTTATTTTTAGGTTGCCTCTTATAATTGAGCTGACAAAGAGAAGTTCTATTATTTAATCAAACTAAGTTCTTACAATATTTTTCTATATTATTCATCAGATTAATTTATTGGCTATTATTCTGTATAATATTCAACAATTTTAGATTATTCATATTTAAATTACTTTTATTATTATTATTGTTATTATTGTTATTATTATTATTATTATTATTGTTATTATTGTTATTATTATTATTGTTATTATTGTTATTATTGTTATTGTTATTATTATTATTATTATTATTGTTAGGATGATTATTGCTATTGATTCAATTAATTTTTTTATGTTTGTTATTATTATTTGAAATACTATTATTATTCTAAGTTTGACTATCTTAGTTCATTATAAATCTTTTAAACATGCTCTAAATCTTCAGTTGCATATTTATACTTTTATTCCAATTCAATTTCTTTAACTTTTGCTTATTTTAATTAATTTTATAATTAGAATATCTAATTCTATTAAATGTTGACTTCATTTTGTAGCGTCTCAATCTACTATTAGTATTATTTTGAATCCATTTAATTTTAATTTTGCCCAGATTATAAATTAATTTCTTAATCGTTCATTTAGTATTTCATCATATTTCTGTTTTCTTATAATCTTTTAATTTCAATCTGTAAAGATTATATTTCTTGTGAATAATCAAAGTTTTCAGCTTCTAATTGTTTTATGTATTCATTTTATTGATAATTAGATTTTTTCTCTTAATTATTCTTATTTTCTATTATTTGTTTTAGTTTTAACTTCAATTAATCTATTTCATTTTACTAATTAATAATTTTTTAATTCTATTAATCAATAGTTCTTTATAAATTTAAATTAGCTTAAGTTGCATCGCTGACTTACTTCTTTTAATAAATAGTTATTTCACTTTTTAATTATTGATAATCCGTTTCAATTTAGTATAATTAAGAACCAAGTAACTCATTTTTTTATCTTAATTATTCAATTATTTTTTCATTTTCATTTTAATTTTAACTTGAATTTTAAATTTAAACTTTTAATTCGTCATATTTAGATTTCCAATTCACTTTTTCATCAATAGCAATAAATTCTTAAATTGATCTATTTTATTAAGGATTTACCATATAAGGTTTTGAATATCTATCTCTTAATAATTCTTCATATTTTTATTGCCAAAGACTAATTTATTTTCTTAAATCTTCATCTGAAGTTATTTAACTCTTCTCATGAGAATTCAATAAGTCTCCTTTTGATTTTACTTATCTTAGTGGAGTATAATAATTGGATCNTTATTATTATTATTGTTATTATTGTTATTATTATTATTGTTATTATTGTTATTATTGTTATTGTTATTATTATTATTATTATTATTGTTAGGATGATTATTGCTATTGATTCAATTAATTTTTTTATGTTTGTTATTATTATTTGAAATACTATTATTATTCTAAGTTTGACTATCTTAGTTCATTATAAATCTTTTAAACATGCTCTAAATCTTCAGTTGCATATTTATACTTTTATTCCAATTCAATTTCTTTAACTTTTGCTTATTTTAATTAATTTTATAATTAGAATATCTAATTCTATTAAATGTTGACTTCATTTTGTAGCGTCTCAATCTACTATTAGTATTATTTTGAATCCATTTAATTTTAATTTTGCCCAGATTATAAATTAATTTCTTAATCGTTCATTTAGTATTTCATCATATTTCTGTTTTCTTATAATCTTTTAATTTCAATCTGTAAAGATTATATTTCTTGTGAATAATCAAAGTTTTCAGCTTCTAATTGTTTTATGTATTCATTTTATTGATAATTAGATTTTTTCTCTTAATTATTCTTATTTTCTATTATTTGTTTTAGTTTTAACTTCAATTAATCTATTTCATTTTACTAATTAATAATTTTTTAATTCTATTAATCAATAGTTCTTTATAAATTTAAATTAGCTTAAGTTGCATCGCTGACTTACTTCTTTTAATAAATAGTTATTTCACTTTTTAATTATTGATAATCCGTTTCAATTTAGTATAATTAAGAACCAAGTAACTCATTTTTTTATCTTAATTATTCAATTATTTTTTCATTTTCATTTTAATTTTAACTTGAATTTTAAATTTAAACTTTTAATTCGTCATATTTAGATTTCCAATTCACTTTTTCATCAATAGCAATAAATTCTTAAATTGATCTATTTTATTAAGGATTTACCATATAAGGTTTTGAATATCTATCTCTTAATAATTCTTCATATTTTTATTGCCAAAGACTAATTTATTTTCTTAAATCTTCATCTGAAGTTATTTAACTCTTCTCATGAGAATTCAATAAGTCTCCTTTTGATTTTACTTATCTTAGTGGAGTATAATAATTGGATCCATTTTTATTCATAGTATAAAGTGAACAATTATAATATTTTCCTTTTGATTCTTCTGATGAATTGAAAGACACATTAGGTTTATTTTGACTTTTGCTAGTATTTTTCACTTTTGGAGAATTAAAAGTTTCGTTTGTTTAATTAATTTCATTTCTCTATGCAATCAATTCTAATTCTTTCTTTTTTATATCTTCCTGATTTTAGTTTTGTGATTACATTCTCTTTAATTAATTCTAAAGATTTAACACTTCTTATTGATATTAGAATTATAACTTTTATTTCTCATTTCCATAAGTCATTAATTCTTATTATAACTTTCTAATTAAATTTTAATTATCTAAAAGTTTACTATTCAATTTCTTATTTTCACTCTCTAATTATTAGATTTCATTTTATTTATTAATTAATGATTATTCAAGTTTTCCAGAATCTGCAGAAGATTTAGTGAAATTTTCTTTAAGCTAAACTGAAATTTAACCTTAATCTTTTAATTTCTATAATAATTCTGAGTTTTATTGATTTTTCTCAGAAATTTAATGTTCTAAACTCTTAATTATTTGATTAAGACGGTTAATTTCTTTGTCATAATCTTATATTATTTTTTTAAGACTATCTTTTTCCTCTTTCTGTTAATTAATTTACTAATTTAAAAGATCATCAGATTATTTGAGATGATTCAAATATTCGCTATCTTTGTTAACTTGATTTACAGTTTAATTCAATTTAGATGCTTCTGTTATCTGACGATTTAAACTTTGATTGTTAGATTTTAGATTTTATAATTCCTTTTCTTTTTCATCGATGTTTATTTAGATATTTGATAATTTTTATTCCAATAATATAATAACTTGTTTTTATTTTTCATTTTATTGAAGTAATTCATCATTAATTTTTGATAATGACTTAACTTTATTTGCCTCAACTGAATTTTAACTAATAGACAATAATTAATCTTGATATTGTGTTCTAGAAATTTTAAGTTCATCTTTCAAATGCTAAATTTGATCATTTAATAACTAGTTTTCTTTTAAAAGATTTTAATGATTATTTTCTTGAATTTAATTAGATCTTTCTACTTACTAAATTAATTCTTCATTTTCTTTTTACAATGACTTAACTTTATTTGCCTCAACTGAATTTTAACTAATAGATTAAAATTAATCTTATAATTAACTTCTAGATATTGCTAATTCATTTTATAAATGCTTGACTTAATCGGCTAGCAATTAGTTTTCCTTTAAGAGATTTTAATCATTATTTGTCTGAATCTATTTGGATTCTTTCAACTATTAAATGGTTTATTAATATTATTATATTCTAAATTCATAGTCATCAACCTACTATTGAATTTATTTTATGTATTACTATTACTACTTTTGCAATTCTTATTATAAAAATAGTTTTTCATCTTTTAATTTTCTAATTTCAGCAGATTGATCATTTGATATGCTATTATATACAGTTTCTTCAATAATAGTAGTTTTATTACTACTTTCTTATAGTAATTCTTTTATTTTATTATTTAGATCTTAAATTTACAATTATTAGAGTCTTAACTGTTAAATATAATCATCTTCTAAACTTTATAATTACTTTCTAAGAGAATAATTATCTTCATTTAATTGTTCAACTTTCTACAATAATAATGGGTCCTATTATTATTCCTTTATTATAGTTGTTTCTTTAATGATTGAGGTTTCAGAATTATTTTATTTTTTTTTCAGATCAGTTAAAAGTTGTTCCTATTAAATGATTTTAAGCTATAATTCATTATTTTTATTTTATTCATCTGTTAAGTCTTCTATATACTAGAAAACTTGAGATTTAGCAGAGGTTAATTCTTCTTAAACCTACTTATATTATAATTAGGTTATCTCAAATTATGATTTTAGTTTTTTCAATTCAAATTCTAACTCCTAAAGCATATCATTTTGACGATTCATTTATAATTGCTGTATCTATCTCTACAAAGATTCAATCTATCGTTATTATTGGCTATTTTCATTCTAAAGTTTTTATTAATCACCTTATAAGCATTTAATTTGTTTTTCTAATTAGTTTTTTTCTAATTCTGTTTATTACTCTAATAAATTATAATCACTTGCCATTTAATTCATTCTTAACTATTATTAATTCGCTTATTATTTATATTTAGCAATTTCATCATCATTTCTTCTTGAAGGAGAGGCAGATTAATAGATAATTGTTTCCTTAATTGGTGTATTTTTTAATTCTTATTGTAATAATTGTATTTAATTTTTCAGATTGAAATTTTCTTCAATTATTTATTTATTAAGATTATTTTGCAATAAATTAGATAATTCTTAATTTTTAATGGTTAATCTATTAATTTCATCCTAATATCTATTTCTTTCAGATTCAAATTTCTTAGATTAATCTTAAACCTATTATTATAATTATTTGATTAGATCTTCTTTTCTTTTCATATTATCTTATTATTATTGATATTAAGTAATTGTTACTACTGTTTTTTCAGATTAATTTATTACATTGTGATATTCCTTAGTTATTTTTTGAAGTTCACTTTATTATTTATAATATTCTTCTTATAATTACTTTATCATTTATTCATATTGACCAATTTTCATTAGTAACTCTTCATTTTCTTAAATTAAATGAGTATTTTAGATTTAAGGAAATACTTGAACTTTTTGTTATGTTTATAATTCTAGCCTTTCTTTTTAATTAATTTATTTGACTAGTTCTTCTATTTATATTTCATATTATTGTTTTATTTTTTAATTTTGTAGGTTTACCTCAGATAATTTCTTTTAAAGTTATTAAGCTAATTGATCATTATTAAAAGCATCTCTTTAATATTTTTCAGTCTCTTTAATTTAACTTTCTAATTTCAATGTCAAATCTTAGATTTAATCCTCAGAATTATTAGCAACTGATCTTAATTCTATAGTATCCATATCTCTTTCTTACTAAATAGCTTGATTTTATAATGTAATTTATTAAATCTATTATTTTAAAAGGAAATTTTAACTTTCTAAATCTGTCCTTGAAATATTCAATTGTTGTATTTATAAATTCAATCTTTCAATTTCTTTATTTAATTTTTAATTATTATTATTTAAATTATCAATTTGATTATTGTAGCTAATAATTTATTACTACATTAGAAGATTTTGTTCATCATTGCTATTTTTATATTTCAATCGTTATTCATTAATTTGTTATTATAATTACTCTATTTAATTCTTTTATTTATTTAATTCTTCTTGTAGCATGTGTTTTTCTTAATTCAGTTATATATTTATGTCATCTGCTTAAGTCTTACTTCTTTAAGCAAATTCTTTTTCTCTCTTTTCTAATTATAATAAATTTTGAGAATTAAGAAGATCCTCCTATAATTTTCTATTTAAGGCTTTTTAATTGTCAAGATCTTTATTGAAAGAACTTTTTAATTCATTCAATTATAATTCATGGTCTTATACATTCATTTCAGATCTTTTTCTCATAATTTCCATTTCATTAATTTAAGACTATTTTTCTTATTTTAAAATATTAATTTATTAATTTAATGTCGTCATATGAGAAGCTAATTCATTTTGACCATTTTATTTAGATCTCCAAGTCATGATTTCTTATTAATTTTGATCATTTAAATTAGATAATTCACTAATTCGAACATTCAGTATTTTTATTTCTTCATCCCCTCTTTATTTACTAGATTGAATTAAATCTCTTTCTTTTTAGAGTTTTAAAATTAATCCTTCAAGTTAAATTATTTTATTTTTTAATTCCTCAGTTTAATCTTACTTAATAATCTTTTAAAAATCAGCTACTTATTATTCAAGTTAGAGAATTCTCATAGATGAATTTTCTTTTTACTCTTTCTCTAAAACTAATTGTTTTTCTAAATTAATAAGTTTTGAAGATGTCATAGTATTCATTGTCGACATTTATATTTCATAATTAGATTTAACCGTTATAATCTAATTAGAAAGATCTTCATTCTATGATTTTAATTATTCAATTTAAAGTTTAAGATTCCTTATTTATTCATCATATTCTTATGAAGATTTTTAGGAAAGCATTTAATATTTATTTTAAATGTTCATACTTTATTGTTAATATTAATTGTAATTTTCTCTTTCCTTTTATAATATTACCTCACCTTACTTTAATTTCTATTATAATTCTTAATTTTCCTTTTTGAGTAATTGAATTTATTGTTAGTGATCATTTTAGATAACAATTGTAGTATTTTAAATTTCCTTGGACATTTTGATATTAATTTATTTTTCTGCTTGCAATTATTATTCTAAAGTATAAATCTTTTATTAAAGCTTAGAAATCTACTCATTTAATTCATTAATTCTCGACTATTCTGATTATAATTATTTTTTCAGATTTTCAACTTAAATTTAATTTAATGATTAAACTTATTAAGAGGTTGTTACATTTTAAGCTTAAACCTCTTTCACCTTACTTTCTAATGATTATATTAATTAAGTTTTTGTTACAATTATTGTCTATACTTCTTTGAGTTGTTATTCTTTTTCAATTAATTGCAACCTTAAAGTATTGACTTGATTTTAAATTTCAACATTTTAAGTTTTTTAAATATTAAAATCTTTTTGTAAACTTTCGTTTTATTTCTTAAGTATTAAATGCTATTCTTGCTCTAATAATAGTTAAGATTAAAGGGAATTAACTTTATCTTTTAGTTACTTAGTAGATTCATTAATTTACTATTGTAGTTATGTGATCTATTATTAATATTAATTGATTTCTTTAGATTGTACTGATTTTGATTAAGAAGTTTCTTTTTAAAATGAATCAAACTTTTATTTAAGTTGAATGTATTCTGTATTCAATTCATTGTACTTTTAGTTTTATAATTGCACTTATTTTTCATAATTAGATAAATTTTCACTTTATTATGATATTTTGCTTTAATATTAGACTTAGGTATCCTTTTAGTTTTTGAGTTTAGTTTGTAAATCAGCAAATTATTTCTAGAGATCAATAAGTTATTTTTATAAATCATCTTTTTGGTTTTCATTTTGAACAGCTTTTTTAGTTTTATCATCCTAATTTTATTTTAATTAATTAATTTCGATTTTTTACTTATCAAATAATATCTTTAATTCATCAAATTTTTATTGTAATTAATTGTAACTTTATTTTTATTTTTCAATATTCTAATGATATTCTCTGTTTTAAATGGATAATTAACTTTCAAAGAGTTGCAGTTACTATAAAGCAGCAGTATATTTTTATTAGAATTATTTTTGCCAATTTAAATCATTATGTTAGTATAGTTCTTTAAGTTTTTCATTTTCTTATTTACTTTATTCTAAAAGATTCTTTAATCTATCTAATTCTTAATTCTATTTATATAGTTCTTCTGAATCTTAATGCTGATTTATGGATTTTAGATCTTAAACACTTCTAACACTAGCTGGTTAGCTTTTTCTCTGATTTTCAGGTTATTATGTTAGTTTCTTTTAGTTTTCTGGAATGGATTGTTTGTTTTATTAAGGATTCTAAGTAACTTTACTTGCAGAATTTGGATTTTAAGTCTTATTTAAAACAATATATGGTTTTTATGATTGTTTATATAAATTTTCTGGATTTTGGGGGTTTTTAGTTTGATCAGAAGGTTTGGTTAATTAAGCAGGATTTTAAGTTTATGGAGATTTTGGAATATCTTCTGGTTTTAAAGGTTCTTTAAATTATTCATCAGGTTCTTACTGACCACTACATAATTAAAAAGGTTCAACTTAGGAACTATTATCAATAGCAGATGGCTATAATATTTAAACTGGTAAAGATTGATTGCTCTGATGTTTTGATTCTCTTGATTTACGTAAGCTTTAAGGATCTTATATTTCTCTTTTAATAAGGTTTTTGACTTAAGAATAAGGCAACGAAGAATTACTACTAGATATGGCATGTTTTCTTATACTATTAGGAGTCATGAATAATCCATTAAAGTTTTATTACTGTGGTTATTATGGTTGCTTACTAAGATCTTCTGGATTTTAGGGAGAGTAATCATAAGGATAAGCTAAAACATTAATAGGAGATTTATTTTAATCACTTGGATTTAATGATTGGGTAGGGTATTATTATTATGACTGTTAAATTTGAATATAATTTACTGGCATTACTTATTATTATACATATTAATAATATTATGGATCTTAATATTATTAAATTGGTTATGTATGTACTGAATGATATTATTTTACATCTTAATATCTGACAGTTTGAGGTGCTTAAGGTGACAATCTGATAAATATTAAATAATATTATACGTTGAATATTGAATGTATTAAATAGTTGGTGGAGAGACACTTCTCTAAACTTACTTTGGGATAGTATACTATAATGGATGCACATTCTAAACAGGGGAATATTTAGATTAAATTTGTTAGACTGGTTATAATTAATTTAGGAATAATGAAGTTTATGGGATTAGCTATTATTAATATTAAATGTTGTTAGGTGAGAACTCTCTTTTAGTTTCAGCAGAAAATGATCTATATTTAACAATATTATTGGGTAATTTTAGTTAATTTTTAGAGAATATTCTAACAGATTAAGGAATCATTTATTTTTGATTTGCATGGACATTTTATTATAAAATATTGATTGGTTAATTATGGATTTAGTTAGGAGGTGAATAAGGTTAACTTATCGTTCTTTCATTACCTTAGGTTTTCATGATTTAATAAATTTATTTGGGAGGAGTTATTTGAGAAGGTAATTCTTATCTTTTGATTTATAACAAATTATTCAATTATTAAATTTAAGTTTCAATGTTTTACACAGTAAGAATTGGTTGATTTTAAATAATTTAAATTTATCTTAAAATTTCGTTGAATTGAAAAGAATGATTCTAAAATGATTTCCTAGAATATCTTGGAGATTGTTAGAACTAAGGATAACCAATTTATGGTACTTGTCCTAAGAAGTGGATTGAACTTCCTGATCCAACAGATTATGGTCTTCTTAATATTCTATAACTTAATAAAGATGTATTAGTGTAATCTGTTGGAATAATGGATTATTATTTATATCTTCTAGGCGTTTTTGTACTCTGGTAATCATATAATATAGGAGCTGTACATTAAGAATCTCCTTTAAGATTTGCAAATTATGGTTAAGTAGTCTAGTTTGATGGTTAAGATTGAATATCAGCTAATCTCTTTTTTAAATGTTCATTATCAAATAATAGCATATTTAATTTATCGTTTAAAAATTTAAGTTCTGAAGTTAATTTTTAATTCTCATGGTATATATTTACTTATTATGAACTATATTACCATTACAATAATTCTCTCTCCTTCTATTCTAAAAGCTAATTGATTATAGTTAGCTAAGGAGCATGTTAAATAACTTAGGGTTATTGTGATTTCAATAATTGAATTTCTTCATTTTTCTCTTGAATTAATTTTGCATACCACTATTCTAAGTTGTAAAGCTTTAATCTCAAAGAAGGGGCATCTTCAAATTACTATTTTAATAGCTAATTTTCCTTTTGTAATTCCTGAATGTAAATTTCAGCATTTTTGTATTTTTCATTGATAACGAATAATTGTTAACTTATTAACAGATTCATTTCCTATTAAGACCTAAATATTAAAGTTGTAAATTACTTTTCTTATAAAATTTAAGTAATGAGAGCATTCTTCTATAAAATTTACTAATTTAAGTCAGTAATAGTTTATGCTTAATTGGTAATTTATTCTTTGTTTTGGAGCTCTAATTCATTATTATGATTATGTACCTCTATCAATTAAATCTTAAATCTTTTTTTCATAATAATCCTTCTTAGATAAAAGTATTTTATGTAATCTCTCGATTTCTGTAGCCATTAATATAATGTTCATCTTCTATTCCAAACATTATGCCAAAGGTTATTTATATTCATTTTCAAACATATTAGGCTGAGCCTCTACAGTGCTTTTTTGTTGAGGGAGCATAAATAAAAATAATTAATAAAATTAAGTAAACTCATTTCAGTGGTTAAGAAGTAAAAATTACCATTTCTCATTAATAATTAAATTAATAAATTTATTAATATAAATATAAAAATATATATAAGATATTTCACATAGTTTAAATCAAAATATTATTTTCCCAATGCCCTACTATAATTTAACCATTTATTAATAAAATTCCATATCCATTTACTTTTCCATCTTTAAAGGTCCTATTAATATAATAATTAAATTACCCTTGTAAAACAGCACCATTTTAAAATACTAAATGTCCTTTGCCATGCATCATTTTATTTTTACCTTCTCCTGTATATGACTTATAGGTTTACATCAAATTAGATAAATCATTTGGATCCATAATATATGAATCCTATGGACTGGGATTATGTAATACAATTTTTTCGTAAATGTCTTGACATGACTTTTGTCTTTACTTTTATTTATTTTAAGGAATTTCCTTAAGAATAGATCCATTAGAATCAGTAGAATTTTTTTTAGAATGTTTACCCTTCATAAGCATTAATAAACTTGAATTAATATCTTCCTTATCTTTTGGAGGAGTAGATTAACTGCAAACAATTTTATCTTAACTAGGTCTCTTAGATTTTCTGCTTTCATTTTCTTTAATCAATTATCTAGATTTTATCAAACAACTCTCCAACATATTTAGTAATTTAGTCTTATCACAACCTGTCTTCTCTTAAATCATACTCTCTTCTTCACTTTCCTCAGGAATTGGTTATATTTGAGGATGAATTTATTGTTATTGTATATCTTATATTCTGATGTTTTATTCAATTATACTTTCCCAAGTTCTCTCCTAAGGATCTATAGTAAGCATTGTTTAAATTAAAGTAATTAACTCTTATGAATAATATTCTTTTGCTCCATCAAAATTATCTTATAATAATTAGTAGTCTATGTATAATTTATTATTGTCATCAATGAAATAAAATTCAAAACCTGATTTTAATGTCATTGCTTCTAAAAATACAATTCCTAATGCCCAAATATCTGCCTCTATTGTTTCATACTTCTATTTCCATCCTTCAAAATCATTTATTATTTCAGGTGACCAATAACCATATTCCTCATTATCTGGAACATGACAATAATTTCTCTTAAATTATTATGTTACTGCAAAATGATCTGCCAACTTCACTTAAGAATCTTAACTAAATACTATCGAATTTGGACTTATACAACTATGAGACAATCCAAACTATCTAATTTATTATATTTTTACATCATGAAAAGATTTCATTGCTGATAGACATGCTTAAAAGGTATTATAAAGTTCTTCTTCAGACCAATATTAATTTGTATTTCTACGTTTAGATAATTCTTCTTCAAAATTTTTTATGTATTATTCATACAACAAACACAATTTTGATGTTATCACATAATCTGTAACTTATAGTAAATTAGGACAGTCTAATTATTTCCTATTCTCTAAAATCTCTATTAATTAAGAGTTTGGAAGTATTTATTTTTTCCCAACAAATTTTGGTATTTCGTATTCTTTATACACATATAATAGACTATTTAATTTGTCTTGTAAAATTATATAATCTGAGTTTTCATCAACCTATCAATATTCATAATCTGTTTTACTAAATTGTATTATGACAGATCCATTCTGTGAATTTAACAGTAAAAAATATAATTTAACTATTTATATTAATAAATATAAATGTACTTTCATTTCACTTATTCCAAATCTAAGAACTCGTTCAATTTACATATTTAATCTAAAGTTTAGAATTTAGATATAATCTCCTAAACACTAAAAGATTATTATTATTAACACTTTTATAAACTATATTTATTCATTAATTTTTAAACTAAATAGATAAAAAAATCTACAACTTTTTTATCTAACCTTTTTTAATTTCCCTAGTCCTTAATACTTTTAATTTCATTTTTTAAAGCTTTCCAATATTATTTAAGTTTTCTCTCTTTGTTGATAAATTCTTAAAAGTAGGCAATCACTTTAATAAAAAAAGATTTGATATTAAATAGACCCAAATTAATTTTAAGTTTTAGATTTTAACTGTAAAATTTAATATCCCCACATATTCAACTTCCTAAATTTTGCAAAATTAAAATTGGTGTTTGTTTTTTCAATAGGATTATAATATAGGATAGGCATTTATAATTAATTTGAATCTTAAATTTGAATAAATTCTGAACTATAGAATTTCAATCGTGATAAACATATAAAAACAAAAATAAGAAATTATTGATTTTAAGTTTATGAAAAAAAAAAATAAATAATAAAAGTTCAATATTTATATCTATTGAAAAATTTTAATTGTTATTTAACCCATCAATATTTTTTCATTCTAGTAAGAAATTCTGTATAAAAAAATAACTTAAAAATTTTATCAACCTATACTACTTAGAAAATTGTATATTTATAAAATTAAAATTATTAATACAATTTAAATGAAAAATTATATATTAATTTCAGAGATTTCATTTATTCATCTATTGCATCTATCAATTTGGATATATAATAGTAAGGTTGATAGAATGAAAAAAATTTCTATTATTATAAAAACTATTTACATATCCCCAATATAGAAATAAATAGAATTTAGGCTCCTGAGTATACCAATACCTTAGGATGCACTCTTTATCTCTGTCTAATTGTCTCATTATTTATGCAAGTGTTATAAATATTTTTGAATTCCATCTATTTTTTTTTATCATTTATAAAAAAAGAAAAAGATTTTGAAAGGACTTCTAAATTTGATTAGTACTAAATAAACATGTATTTGATTATTTTTACTAATTTTAATAATAAAATTATTTTTAATATTGATGAACAATAGATAATTTTAGTGTTATTGGCATTATTTTTTGTTTATTTACATTTAAAGGAATATCTTTTACATAAGAGTAATTTTGTCCCTTTTTAATAGAGTAAATAATTTATAAATTCTGAAAAAATATTTTTCTTTCTTAAAGAATATTAAGAAAAAATTAAATTCAATAAATTTATTTTAATTATAATTTATAGATTAATTCAAATTCTCTTAGTGCCCTAATTTTTTGTCAAATAGTTTTCAACAAAAACTAAGAGGACATTTTATCTCATCACTGATCGACTTCTTGAATATTAATTTTAGTTTAGAATATTCCTTTTCATTTCAGTCCTTAAATTAGTTAAATAAGAGTTTGATCTTTAAAATCTAATGGCCTATGAGACTTTAAGACATGGAGAAATTTTAGAATCTCTATTTGTTTCAACTTTTTCAATACTAAATTTTCTACCTGCGTAACTGTCTTCGTCACAATTAACTTTACTCCAAATCTTAGTATTGAAATTTCTTGTTTTAACACAGGATTTCTATAAACAATCAACAGACAAATTTGTAATTTATGGACATTAATTTTAGGACTTTTTCTGAGAGTGAGATTCTTTAATTCTTTTAAACAAGCTTAAATATTGAATTACAGATTCCAATTCATTTAATCTTTATGATCTATCTTCCATTACGATGTTTTGAAATCTTTAATTTTTAGATTAGAGATTTGAATTATGAGTANGTAAGGTTGATAGAATGAAAAAAATTTCTATTATTATAAAAACTATTTACATATCCCCAATATAGAAATAAATAGAATTTAGGCTCCTGAGTATACCAATACCTTAGGATGCACTCTTTATCTCTGTCTAATTGTCTCATTATTTATGCAAGTGTTATAAATATTTTTGAATTCCATCTATTTTTTTTTATCATTTATAAAAAAAGAAAAAGATTTTGAAAGGACTTCTAAATTTGATTAGTACTAAATAAACATGTATTTGATTATTTTTACTAATTTTAATAATAAAATTATTTTTAATATTGATGAACAATAGATAATTTTAGTGTTATTGGCATTATTTTTTGTTTATTTACATTTAAAGGAATATCTTTTACATAAGAGTAATTTTGTCCCTTTTTAATAGAGTAAATAATTTATAAATTCTGAAAAAATATTTTTCTTTCTTAAAGAATATTAAGAAAAAATTAAATTCAATAAATTTATTTTAATTATAATTTATAGATTAATTCAAATTCTCTTAGTGCCCTAATTTTTTGTCAAATAGTTTTCAACAAAAACTAAGAGGACATTTTATCTCATCACTGATCGACTTCTTGAATATTAATTTTAGTTTAGAATATTCCTTTTCATTTCAGTCCTTAAATTAGTTAAATAAGAGTTTGATCTTTAAAATCTAATGGCCTATGAGACTTTAAGACATGGAGAAATTTTAGAATCTCTATTTGTTTCAACTTTTTCAATACTAAATTTTCTACCTGCGTAACTGTCTTCGTCACAATTAACTTTACTCCAAATCTTAGTATTGAAATTTCTTGTTTTAACACAGGATTTCTATAAACAATCAACAGACAAATTTGTAATTTATGGACATTAATTTTAGGACTTTTTCTGAGAGTGAGATTCTTTAATTCTTTTAAACAAGCTTAAATATTGAATTACAGATTCCAATTCATTTAATCTTTATGATCTATCTTCCATTACGATGTTTTGAAATCTTTAATTTTTAGATTAGAGATTTGAATTATGAGTACCAATTGCGGGATTGGAGATTTGATTAATAGTTGAAAAATTTGTTTAAACACTTCGATTATTGACTTTAGGCTTGAGTGCTTTAATTTTATAGTAAAGCATATTTATAATATTTATAATTTTTGAACAATTGTATCCCTTTGAGTTCTATTTTACAAGATATTTTTAACTATAAATATTGCGTCATATTTTATTATAAACAATTTTTAGAAAAAATTTTAAGTATGAACAATTGGAAGAGATTCAAAAAATCTTATTTGAGATTTTAATTTTGGAATGAACGAATTTTATGGGAGCTAAAAAAAGCTGTTGTGAAGTTGCTATTATATTTGAGAAGGAAAATATTAAAACAAGTTATTTTTTATTTACTTTGAATTTTAGAATATAAATGTATGATTTTTAACTTTTTCATCAACGTTTTGAATTTTTGTATGAATTAAGTTAACATTTTTGGATACATTCTGTTTACTATTTAAAAATTCTTCTAATTTTATTATGAATATCTTACCTTATTATTATATGTCTAATTGAATCAATCATATTGTTCTTTAAGTAAATTTGACTATCCCCAGCTCTTAAATAGTCAACTTTTCTTTTTTGAATAAATTATAATATATATGAAAAATCTTTTATTATCAAGAAACACAGTCTTTTTGAAAAAGCTAATTTCTATCTTTTTTAAAGGCAACTAAATGTAATAAGTGAACTAATGGCTTAAAAATATTTATAACTATGAAGAAATGTAAAAATATAAAAGTATCATATTAGTTTATCTAATTTGTCATAGTTAATGCTTAAAGAAATTTAATGGTATACAATGATATGAAATGCATTTTTTTATGAGAAATTGTTAACTTAGAGTAAATTTTTTTGTCAAAAATATTCATTTAAGAGAAAGAAAATAAATTTAAGAATCCATTAACAATATGGTAAATCTGAAATAAAATTTTTTTCTTGTATTTATAAAATATTATATATACGGTACTATCATTTTTATTATATACAAATTCATTTATTTCTATAAAAATAATCTATCTTTAAGCCATCCTCAAAAATTAGCTATTATAATAACAAATCAAGAATTCTTATTTCAAATTATTTTTTTTTTTAGAAATCCTTTTTTTTTGATAATAGATTAATATGGAGTAAGTGTAATAGCCAAAATTATGAAATAATATTAATTGAAGGAATATATAGATTTAATGATTATTCATGATGATAAAATAAAAAAAAAATCAAGTAAAATAAAATTATTAAAAAAATAAAAAAACTAGTTTTTATAATTGAAGAATTCAATTATTAACCAAGCTAATTTTATAAGAAAGAAGGAAGCTTCCTAGATTCTGTTATAATCTAAAATTGATTTTCTTGAAAATTCTGTAATTTCTTTATTAAATGATTACTTTGATAACAATAATTCTTTAAATATTTAATCAAATAAAAAAATTTGGGCAATAAAAGATAATTAGAAAAAGATTTCCACAATCAGAATTAGGTATAATGTCCCTCTTAAAATATATAGCTTTATTAGAATATTTCTTCTAATGAGAAAATCATATAAACAAACGATCAAATTCTTTAGATTCAATAAATTATTCTATCATTAAACCAAATTATGAAAAATTTTTGCGTTTGCATAAAGCAAAATGTAAATAATTAAGTAAGTTATCTAAATGATCAATTATATTGCAAATTCTAATTAGTTAATATGTAAGTTTTAGTATTGTTCTTCATAATGATGACAAATGAATATTTATACAAACTTAAACCATTTGATATTTTAGAATTACAATTACTATTCGGTTTTAAAATTTAATTTGAAAATCATCCAATTTACACAAAATGTAAATAGATCGATTATAAAATTATCAATCTGAAAGAATCATTCTTAAATTTTTACTTGATCATTTAAACTAAATATGTTTAAAAAGAGAGATTTAAAATCTACAAGTTATTGTAATCATTTTTGATAATAATTTATAAATAATGGATGAAATGACTAAATCTTTATAATTCCACAACAATTATATTATAATGTTTAATAATTTAAATATATAATATAATTCAATCAATTTTAAATACTTGTGATTCATCTTCATGTTATAAATAAATGTATTCACAGTCTTTATCCCATTCTAAGGTATGATGAAGTGGTTATAGAAAGTTGAATTAATGAGTTAATTTAATGTAAACGTTTTCATGTCCCTATAAAAAAGAACTAGTTGGCTTTAATTGAAAGATCTTTAAATTTTAATCTTTTTATGAAAATGAAGCTAATTAATTGCCATTATTATCAAAAGCTATACTAGTAATTTATGCTAATTATTGAATTAATAAAATTACATTGATATCTATCTAATGGTTATAACTTTACTCCATATCTTAAATCATAAATTTAGACCAATCCTTCAAATGCAAAAGCTAATTTTAACTTCTTTTAAGAAAAACTAATATATTCAAACTTCTAATCTAAATATTATACTAATTTAACAAAAGTCTTATATGTATACTTTCTTAATTACTAATTATTCTGATCGACAGATCTATATTTTATAAATAAATTTGATACCTTATTGATAAATCTAAAATAAATAAAATTTCATTAGGCTTAATATCTGTTTTACATAAACAATGCAATAAATCAATGATTGAGCATGCTATTATTGGATAAGTTTCTATTTAATTTATCATCTCTTTTATAGTAATTTTAAATTCCTCAAAAAAATATCCTGACAAAGCAATAATTAATATTCTTAATCTTTGTTTTATTCTTTACAAGTCTAGTTAACTCATAGACTAATATTGTCTCAAAGTTTCGTATTTGTCTTTTTCTTTTGATTTCTTATTTAAAGGGGAATTTATTATCTCTTTTAATGAAAAACCATTTTTATAAGTAGTGTATACGTAATAATAAATTTAAATCAATGTTTGTAAACAAGTTTTAGGTTATTGAATACATTTATGAAAGTTTTTCATTCCATCTTCTAATAATTTAATAAATACAAACACAATGTTAGGTTTCTTCAAACATAATTAATGAGTGAAACCTGACATTATTCTATTAAACACATAATGAATCATTTCAATATTACTCATCATTTATTACATTAAATATGTTTAAATAATTAAACACATGATTTCCAAAGAAAAATACACATTTGAACTACTCCTTTCAAATAACTACAAAAATTCTTTCGATGTTCTTTATAAAACAACAATATCATTACAAAAACTATCCATTTTTTTAATTTATTAAGAAATTAGTTAACAAGAAATTTCAATAATATCTTTTGAGTTGTCAAGACTATATCTAGATAAACTTAATAAACTTGTTGAATAATTAATTTCTGAGATCTAAAATCTGCTTTTTATCTATTTTAAACATAATGCTGCTGCAATGCTATATTAAGTGGACATTAATCCGCTTATTTAATAATTATTAGATTCAATTAGTCTTGAAAACCCTTCTGCCATTCCTTATAAACCAAATTAACATTTAAATATAGGAATTAAATTCAAAGTATGATAAAAATGAACATATGTAAATGGTATCTTCAAAGATGCTGTATTTTCCATGGAATGTTTTATTAATTCTATATTTTTTTTACAATCAAACCATATTAAATAATAAGAAGAATTAGAATCTTATCTTTTTTGTTCTTTTTGTTCTTTATAAAATTTATTTGCTCGATCAAATTATATTGTTGATTTGAATTACTTTAAATATATCTTATATAATAAGAACATGTCTCCCATCTCTTAAGGTTCAAATATTGTTATAGATTTATTTCTATAGTTTATTGCTGAATCTTCGTAAGAAAGTATGTGCAAAATTTCATCAAATTCAAAGGTATTTTATTATACTTTGTTTAAAGTTCCCAAAAAATCATAAAAGTATTATGGAGATTATTATTTTAATTCTTATGAATAATTATATTAACTTTAATAACTTCTATTTGAATATTCTAAAAGATCAAATTAAGAAACCTAATCAGTTTTAAATGATTTAAAGTCATGTAAATTTATCATTTACGACAATCTCTATGTTAGTAGTGTATCAATATTTAAATATTCTTATAATTATTGAATATTGATCATTCTTTCAAATGAGCCTCTCTCCATTGACCAAATAGAAACTTCAACTCCTTTTAAAAATAAAAATATCAGTAAATGTGGTACATAATATAACTTTACTTATCCTTTATTAATTTTAAATTAATTATGAAAAGAAAATCTTTTAACATTTAAAATAGTATGATAAATCACTATTGAATCATCTTCTAGTAATAAGGCCACAAAATGTTTAACTAACTTTCTTTTAATAATAAGAGCATCATTGTTTGAAAAAGTACTATTGCTTGATTCTTAAAATAATTATCGAATTTAAACCACCTACTTTATATTTGACCCTAAAATTGTTGTATAAGTTGAAACAAAATCAACAGATTAATTATCAAATTTACCAAAAATGCAAGATAAACTAAAGACTTTTAATTTAAATGTTTTATCAACAGCAAAAATAGAGTTTTTGATAAATTTCAAAAAAATTATGTTTTGTTTAAATTCTTTATTTATATAAATATTCCATCTCTTATTCTTTTCATAAAAGAATGGAATCAAAAATATTTATCCTTATTCTGTTCCAAAAATTGCAAATAGATCTGTTTTGTTATATAAACCAACTGTATATATAGAAATATTTTAGATTGAATTTAATTACTATTGAATGTGTTCCGGTAAATTCTCATTTAAAGATTTTAAAATATCATTTTGCTCAAAAATTTAGAGATCAACAAGTTTTTTAGGTAAATCTGTTATTTCATTTTATTTGGATTCGTTAATAAATCTTGACTAAGAATACAAATAAAGTATAAAACCTTCAGAAAATAATTTTACATCAAATAAATTATCCTGTTAAAAACTGCAAATACGAAAATCTTCATAATTTATTGAATCAGGTATATAAATTTCAATACTGCATCCATTTTATCTGAATAATAAATTATTAATTGAGTAGATTATCTTTTGAAAAAAATATTTTGAAACTTAAATAGGTGTCAATTATTAATTCAATAATAATAAAAGTTATCCTTAAGAAGACTAGCTTTATTTTGAAAAACTGAAGCCATTAAAATCTAGAGTTATACATTAATGGTAACTTTTAGATATTAAACTAATTATATCTTAAATATCTTTCTCATAAATGAAACTAGTATGTCCATTTAATTGTTCAATTATAATAATTGTTTTATTTTGGCTTTTAAATAAATGAATATTTCTAAACTTAATCAAACTTGTAGATGATTTGATTTAAAACATTTCTCTTTATTATTCAGTTTCTTTAAAAGGAGAATTAACTACATAAATTGATTTTGAATAAACTATATACATAATCTATGATTTAGTGTTGTAAACTGTATTTATAATTTTGCTTTATGGCAATCCTTTTAATGAAAAACTAGAAGACATTCTTATTAAAGATTTTTTTTATCCATTTTTCTTCTTTTCTTAAGCTTTTTTTTCAATATACTTTAAATAATTTTATCTTTCTGTTTTTTTATATGCTGATGTATCAATTTTATAAACTCTGCATTTACTATCTTGAATATTATTAAAATATACCAATAACAGCAAAATCAGCTCCTATAGATGTAAAAATTGTAAATCTTGGTTAATCAAATTCATCTTGAATCTAAAATATTTTGCTGCAACACATTTTCCATAAATCATATATATAAAGAGCTGTACCTTCACCAAAACAACTTATATATCTACTTGTTCTATCACCAACTGGATTTATTTAAGTGATTTATTTTGAATATGGAAATTGATCATGATCTGAAATCAAAATTTATTTGCCATCTAACATACTTAGTATTCTAATCCTTTTATCTTAATGAATTGCTATTACACAATTCATATTACTATCTTAAAATTCACCAAAGGGCCTTCTCATAATTTATAATGCCGTAACACCTCCAACTCTATAAATTAAATGAGGAGTAGACTTTATGAGTGGTTTTAAATTAAAGTTATCTAATTCCCATATAATGATATCTCCATTAATTGAACCTGTGGCAATTCTTTTTTTATCTAAATCATCAGCCCAAGCAGTAATAAAATGATTTTAAAAGTCAAATGAGCCAAAATAAACAGGAATGAATAACTCTGGCATATATGATAATTATTATTAATTTAATATTTTTAATAATACATAATCAAGCTTCCTGATTAAGTTTCTTTTTTTTTTTTTGCTTCATTATGATTATTTGTTTTATCAATGCGTCGTATTTTCAGACAGTTTTAGCATATTTACATTTTCTTATTCTACATAATTATCACTAGTAAAAGTAGCTTCAATTTAAAATAAATCAATCTATTTTATTAATATCAAAGTACATAAGTGTTTATATTTTGAAGATAAAATTTTTTTAAAATAAAAAGATTTAGCTTTCCAAATAAATACTTTTCATTAACATAGCCGTAGACTTTCATCAATTTTTTTTAATTTAATTTCACTTTACGCTTTTGGTTTTGAAACATAGCCATCCATCTTTGTGGTTTTTACTTACATTCAATAAAACTATTGAAAGTTGATAGATCTAAAGATTTTGAATTTCAATTATCATTATCAATAAGGTTGCCTTTGATTGAATTTTAATTATCAAAATCACAAAACCAAATTTCTTAGAGTTTTAGTTATTTCCTAGAAATTTGTGCATATTTATCTTCAAAATGGATTATTAATTTTTTCTATTACAAGATTAAAGTATTATTATCACATACATCAATATTTTTTTTTACACATGTTGTTATCAAATAAAATTTTTGCTTAGTTTTTTTTGTGACAATTTTGGTAATTATTTCGATTTTAAATTCTGTTTGAGAAAATTAGAAAATGATTTTAATTATAACATTAGGTTCATTAATTCCAATGATTTCTTATTTTAATAGATGCTACCTTATTAAATAGTTTGTTCAATGTGTAAAGGATAAAAACTGTTGGATTTAATCAATTTTAATTTGACTTTGTTAATAATTAGATATGAAAAATAATTATTAATAAAAACTATAATAGATATTTAAATTTGTATAAAATGTAATAAAATTATCGTTTTCTAAAGTATTTTGTATAAATATTTCTATATAAATTTAGATTATTTAAATTAAAAAATGGATTATTAAGTTTGAATATTGGATATTGAAATTTAAGATTTCTAAAAAAATACAGTATTATTATTTATAATTATAATATTATTTGATATATAAAAGAAATTCTTGATTTTATGAATATATTTCATATAAATATTAATAATAATGGATATAGATGTTGATAAAGTAAGTTTTTAAACATATAAAGATCATTGAAAAACTCTTAGAAAGTAAAGGAGCTAAATCAGGAAAGGCTGTAAATCTGACAGAGAATGAAATACGTTCATTATGTATAAAAAGTAGAGAAATTTTTTTAAGTTAACCAATGTTATTGGAATTAGAGGCTCCAATAAAAATTTGTGGTA